GACGAATCTTTTTGAAACTTTACATGTTGATAGACTATAATATTTAGATATGCAATAGAGATTTAAAATGTTTCTGAGGTCAAAGCCAAGTTACCAAGAATAAACCGTTTGGGCACGGTCAGACACATGGCGGGGCCCTTGCTGACCTGACCGTTTTCTTATTCTTGTTAATTGGGGAATTTTATTTTTCTTCTTCTTCATCATCTTCTTCTCCCCTCCCGGCAGTTTCTCAAAATTAAATGAAACTTGGCATTAATATTGGTTGGCATATGTAGATATTTAAAACACATTCGTTTTGGGCACTGCGCATCCAAGATCGCTGCGGCGGCCGCTGATTGGTCGAAACTTATATATTAACCGATTTCGCTCAAATTTGGTATGTATGTTTATTATAACATTACGAACAGTACGGTGGTTTTTGGGGACTTCTGTTCGAACCCCGTTACAATTAATTTGAACTTGTTGTTATGCCGGACTTTTATCTAATGGCTGAAAAACAGACATGTAATGTATGAGCATATAGATATAAGAGATAACCTCCAAAGGGAAACAGGTTTGTGTGATTTAATCTAAAAATCGAAGTACAATGTGATTGTCACTGTGTGCTTTATAAATGAATCATGTGAGTTCTTAGAACCATCAATGGAATACCAGGAATCGACCATTTTGTTTATTAGTGTCTATTGATATCAATCGGGGAATCGTCGGCACTTTCCTTTCTCGTTTACGGAAAGTGCCGACGGTTCCCGATCGTACTGGTATTTGTTTTGGGATGTACACCGGTTTCTGGAATAAAAGTTGGAAGAAGAATCCATTTCAAGAACTGTAAGTCCTGTTTTTCATTTTCTCACTTTTTTCAATACACTGCAAGCAAAATTATCTATGTTTGTATAATATGTTATTGGTACCGAGACCTGAGACACTTTGAGTTAGCAATAACTTTATTCATGTGGGTACATAGTGAGTTGAGAAACTACTAGGCCCAGTTTTAGTGACTTTGTTTCCTGCACAACAAGATAAAATTACGTTCTAACTTCCGGAAAAGCTCAAGGCTGACTTCCGGAAAGCCGAGTGGCTCTTGAAAGCCGGAACCTAGCCCGGCCAACCAGGGTCTTTTGGGAGCGTTCTCCAGCACACTAGATATATATTCTAAATTCGAGATAGAAAGTTAAGCGCATTTTCATTGGAAATAGAAGATGTTAACATCTTATCTCCACGAAATTCCAAAGCAGACACATCCCATCACAAGGTTTGATTTGCTTGTACATTCCCGTATTCCGGTTCAAAGACTGTGTTGTACCGATTTGAATATTTGATAATCATGAAAGTATGCCTGCTACACTTCTTAAACTCAAGTACATTTGTCATCATTTATTATTAAATATTTGGAGAAGTTGTAGGTATATGGTGAATAAGGTGTATTATATGGATATACAAAAACATTGTTTGTTTGTTTGTTTATTTGTGTGTTTGTTTGCATGGGGGTTGACGTCATCGCGACATCCAAAGTCATAGGAAGAAGTGTGCCTGGGTAGGCACCACCGAAAAGAAAGGCCGGATAGGTGAGAAAAGAAAAGGTGAAGATTTTTAATGTTGAATTGGGGCGGCAAATCTTGGTTTCTTCAAGGGCCTAAGCAGAAGACACATCACAAGATATAAACAGGAAAAAGAATAGCGTGCTTCCACCGGGGATCGAACCCTCGATCTCCAGATTCCTAGTCAGACGCTTTACCACTTGGAGCTAAAGGGATTCCCTCTAGCTCCGAAGCTAGAAGGCGACCTTAATCCTATGTACAATTACAACCTGCCACACTACTCCCCCCTTTTTAATTGTGTTTGCCCTCGAACACCACAACCCAGGTTCTAACTCCCTGTCACCACAGAGAGGGCCATAGACACCATTTTTAATAGGAAAGAGAATAGGGTGCTTTCATGGGGATCGAACCCTCGATCTCCAGGTTCCTAGTCGGACACGCTACCACTGAGGTGAAGAGAAAATTCCCTGTAGCTCCGAAGCTAGAAGGCGACCTTAATCCTATGTACAATTACAATCTGCCACACGTGTAAAATAAACTTTTATATCATATGTGTATTGACAGACGAGCCGAGTACCTGTAGACACAGATGGGAGATTGCGATTCTGCAGGGGCCCATATAAGTCGCCTCTTATGATAACGACATGCACTGGGGAAGTTTTTCCCGAGCCTGCAGAGGTCAAAATGTTGCTATTCACTCTAAGTAGAAATCACTTAAGCAATGCTTAATATAAGAGAACTATAAAAAACACTCGAAACCGACACATTGAGTCTATCCAGCGTAACGTATACACACACATATATATATATATATACTTCGATACAATATACAATTGAACTGCAAACTTCCTGGTCACTGATACCAAATTTACTTAATTAATGTATATAATATACGTACGTTATATGACAGACATAGTTTAACGAATTGCTGTTAATATTTCTTATATTTTTTTTATTAATTTGAAATAAAATTACGATTTCGAACGATATAATAGATGAAGTATGCAAAGATTTGTTCATCATATTCTCGAAATATATTCTAGATCCTTTATGCATAAGGTGACATGACTCATCTCCCTTATAAATGTTTTATAAATAAAAGAATCGTCTCTCTGCGAAGGTAGGAAATTATCGTTGCCTTGGTATTCTTATGAAAGCTTTTCAAACTTCATTTTAGAATATGTTAGGAAAAACAGGAATTTCTTTCAAAAATTTTCATTAAGCACACGATGTGTATTTTGATAAACAGTTCCATGTATACTCACTAACTCAGTAATATGAAACGTTTTGGGGCTGAATCAAACCCGAAATTTAAAACGAAACTTTAATTGCCACCTACAAGGTTGTAAACCATGTGTTTCTTACTTGTATAACGAAGCCAATTGAAATACAGCAATAACCGGTTCAAATCTGTCATCAGTGTTTACACACAGGCTTTACTCTGTCCTTGTGAAAAACACTTTTGAAATGTCGTGTAATGGGGTATAAGGAACGACAACTCTGGGTAGATTGAGCTGTTATAAGAAGCCAATCGGGAACCGTCTGCAGTACACGAAAAAATATTTTTAAAGTATTTTTTAAAGCATTTTCTCGTTTACGGAAAGTGCCGACGGTTCCCGATTGACAAGCAGCGTGTCGGACAACCCTTTAATGTTATATATAGTTTGTGTCTGTGCTTGATGTTCATGTATCTAATCCAGTTAGACCTCGTAGGCTCGTTGTCCAGTAATATCAAAGCATTGTTAGATTGCAACCTCAATAAGTTTTCTCCGATTCCCTCCCCTTTTTCCTGTTTAAAAGCACACGTGGCGTATTGTCTGAAATTGCAATGAAAGTGATTTAATGTATTTTTTTATAGTTCAATAATTTATCGATAGCTAAAGTACTTTACATATTTTGGTTAGGCTTATATTGTTTAACGTCCTATAATAACATCCAATGCTATTTAAGGACGTGCCTCCATGCATGTGTGTTATGAAAGCGTGCAAGTATGTGTGCTGGAGACAGGGTATGTTGGTGTACTTGCCTCCTTGTAATAGTGCGGGTCTGATGCCGACTTTATAGTGCTATCTCACTGAAACACCACGCCGAAATCACCCCGCACAGCATTCCGCCCGGTCACATTATACCTGACAACGGGTGAACCACCATAACTACCATTATTAAGGATTTTGATATGTCCCGGCCTGGTGACAGAACCCATTGCCTTCCTCACCTCGGCGAACGCTCAACATCAAAGCCAAAAGTGATGTATTGCCAAGCTAGACGCTAGAAAATAAAAGGAAGTTAGAAGTAGAAAGAAAGATAAAGATTCCAAATGTTGCAATGGTTGCAGAAGATTTATTTTGGTCGCTTAATTCTGTGTCCCCAAGTAGGCAGATCCCCAAGTAGGGAGCGCAAAAACTAAATCCCCAATTCTGGGGTCGCTTTTTAGTTGGCGTGGGTGGTCGGGTAGTGCAGTGGATGGCACACTTGTCTTTCAACAAGGCTGCCGGAGTTCGATTCCCCGATCGGACGTGAAAGACGGTATGGGGATAATTACCTGCCCGACCACATGGGTTTTCACCGGGTACTCCGGTTTCCTCCCACAATAAGACCCCGCGCGCTAACATCCGGGACAACAAGAGTGATTAATATAAGTTTGAAATAGCACGTGCCATGTAAAATAAATAAAGTTTATATACATGTATGTAGTTGGCATTCATAGTCAATGTGAATACCAAATGGAAATGCTATAATAAATTCCCGTTTGTATTTGTACTGCCATACTCCAAAAACGGTCTTACCACGGACTTAGATAATCTAATTCCGTGGTCTTACTATGATTTTGATTTTGGAACATGTTCTTATTTCCCCGTGCAGTGTGTTTGTGTAATTCACATTGCACTACATTTTTTTTATAGATATAGATAGAGCATTACATTTACCAGAGTGAAAAGTCGTTTCCCACGATTTCTCCGATCAGAGACATATATAAAATAGTAGTATATTTTTTTTTATGTCCGCTCCGCAGTCTTCAAGTTTTCCATCAGCCTCACCAGTCACAGTCTAAAAGTCAACTCAGATCTTCAGCCCATGAAATGGACAAGATTCAGTCCTTGCATTCTAATAAAGCATGTTCCAAGTGATGCCTGGTAGCATTTAGTATCATAATTGCGGTACTGTATGTATCGATCGTGTATAATTATAAATATTAGTGTCCCCAGCTGCTGCGTGTACTTTTAAAAATAAAGGTTCAATATTCCAAGGACCCCTCCTCTGAAATGCCTACAGGGTAGGATTGCGCTGTGAAACATGGACACGTTTTGAAATGACACTTTTCTGAAAATCAATGAAGGATGGAAACTTTCTAATTCCGTGCTTTATCCAAGAAGGAGTAATGTGTTATGAATAATAAATGAAAACTTGTCATTTTCAGAGCTCGAGGAGGGAAACAATCGATACAGCGCATTCCAGCGGTTTTGGTCAGTCAGTAAAACTGTGTCAGACATAATATCTCCTAAATAAACACTAGAAATATACTAAGTTCCTGATTAATTTTATAAAGTTTGACAACGAGTACGGGTTATTTTAGTTGTGTCCCTTGGATGGGATTATGAACATTCTCTTCAACAGGTGTCGCTTACTCAATACATTTTCTGCTCTCGCTGTACGAAAGAGTTCTCGACAACAATGTACACAACCTGCCAGCACTTGTATTTTGACAAAATGGAACAAGAGGATTACAGGACACGTGAGCAAATATTTACACTATTCTTGTTTATTTTTTATGCCACGTTAGCTGCGCTAACACCCTGTCTCATACCAGAATTGATAGTGGGGTAAAACAGAGTCATGAAACAAATAAGTGATTATATTGACCAGCACAGCTTCGTAGACACTTGTACTGTACCGTCACTGAACGATAGTTTTGCATATGTAAATTATCCCAATATGTTGTAATTTATCAACTTAAACACATTTTCACTGTCTTCATCTTCACCATATTTTCCAAAATTATTTGCCCTACTTTTAGTACCTCTTGAGTCAGATAATTGGTCTTTACAACTTGAAAAGGGTCATTTATAAAAAAATTAACCCATTCATTTGCATAAAGAAAAGGCCTCATTTAAATCTGTTACCTTTTTTACAGATTACTGTAAGTGAAATATATAAATCTAAGGAATCAATAACTGTAGGAAAGGTTCTGTTTGAGTCACAGTGGGATGATATATATGTATTGATATTTCCCATGGCACATTTTAAATATGGTCAAAGAGACTCATCTAACGGATAAAAATATTGTTACAGAGACAAACACATCTTATGTTTAATATAGTGTAATATTCAATCGCAACAAGCTCAGGGTAGGTAGGTATACCTATTTGTTTGTGTCTATCGGTTTCTCCCGAACAGTGGGCTTCTTCAGGACAATTTTTATGATCACGTTTACCCCTAAAGTACTAATAATTGAACAGTTATGTTTTATATAAGTGTAGTAGAACTGAATTGGGTCGATCGTCGGTGACCAGGTAGCTCAATTGGTAGAGCTTCCGTCTAGAGTTTGAAGGGTCCCGGGTTTGAACCCCGATCTGGCCATTACATTTTCTCTTTCTCCTGTTACAAAATTGGTGAGCTTGCCAACCTTTGTTTCAAGCAATGGGATTACGCTGAGCAAGGGGATACCTAAACTTGGGTTGTAAATAGTTGTGTCTTCGGGGGCATGAATTAGAAAAAGGAGGGAGGAATGTAGTGGAAAAGGACTGGGTTGTTTGTTGGCGACCAGAGTTTGGAGGGTCCCGGGTTCGAATCCTGGTCAGGTCGTTACATTTTCTCTTTCTACTGCATGTTGCATAAGAAATACAAATTTCATTGTTTGCTCACATGAGCTGTCAGACTACATATCTATAATGAGCAGGAATACATGTACAACCTTTATCACACACAAGCACACCCTTCCACATCATATGCCGGTTCTAAAGAGGTTCACATTGTTAGATGGGCTTGAGTAGAAATTTCTAAACCTGTAACTTGCTTGGTTGTGTTGTTAATTATATATTATGTCTGTCATCCCTAGGATGGTTGTAACGGCGTAAGAATTATTTCCCGGATATTAGATAAATTGATATACATTGTTGTATGATAATAAGTAATGATCCTTTTTGATAATCATTTTTTTATGCAAGATGATTTATGTTGCAGCTCCCTTTTATCAAAGGAAATGAAATAGTCTGAATCTGAGAGATGTCTGCACCCCGGAGGGTACAACGTGACAAAAGGTAAAGTGAAACATCTATATGTGATTGTTATGACCTCACAAGTAAATTCTCTACACGAATATCAAAAGAAAAGATTATCTTTATCGAGTACTGCACAGAGTAGAAGACTAGAAGTAGTTATGAATAACTAGGGCTGCAACGATATATCGTGATATTTTGAATACAGTACGCTACACAATATTTTTTGGGAGGTTATGATGCACCTACAATTTTTTTTGGCGTTTCTGAATTTAGTCAACTCATATCCGTTCCAACATGACGAGTGACAGCTCCAACTTAGCAAGTTGGCATGCACGTCGAAACACAACAAGTGTGTGAAACTTTAATTTAAAGCCATTATATCCATTCTAGACCAAGTCTTTTTCCAGCTGTAATTTTGCCATTAAAAATTTGCATCACATCTTTTCTCTTTCCTTCTACTGTAACTATATGTATCTTGTTACGTATTGTACCATGACCACAGTATCGTGACTCATATTGTATTGTCATGTTCGTGTATCTTTGCAGCCCTGTGGATAACTGTACATAATGAGTAAGGATAGTTACATAATAAACTGTCTGTCCATGGGTTGTAACGAGAAACTCACGGTATTTTGTTAGGATAGTTAACAAACATGCAGTTTGTCTGTAGTGAGTATCAACAATGTGAGTATCAACGATAGATGGAAAGATGACGTGCTGTTTGTAGTTAAGGACTGTCTGTAATGATATGTATACTTTCACAATGATGTACTGATCAGGGTTCAAACTAAGAAGTTAAGAACAAATGATGAGATGGTCAATTGTACATTTAAATTGGAAGTCAATTGGCCCTACCATTCACTTTTTATCCTCTTTGCTTTTAAATAAAAAGGAAAGAAATTTCATCTCACAAAGAAAAAAATCACTGGCCTGGACCAGCACCTTAGTAGACACTTGTGGACAAGAGGAGACCTTATTGATATACATGACAGCTTGTGTTGTAGACTTGATAACCTGAAGAAGGAGAGTGTGAAGTTGAACCAGGATGTGGAACACATGCAGGATGCATTGCTGCTACATCAACGTTTCCAGGAGAATGAAGACTCCACCATTAAGGGCATAATCAGGTATAGTATTCATACAATCAGTTGCATTTTGCGAGAATATTTATTTTTGAGTTAACTGTTGACTGCTAATTTAAATGTTTCACAAGTAATATATTAAGACATGGAAAGAAGCATTTTCCCTCTCCTTTTACAGTGGTGCCTGTGACCAACCCTTGTTTCAAGCACGGGATGTACACTTGGCAAGGGGATACCTGAACCTGGGTTGTAAATAGTTGTCTACGGGGGCGAAGGCTAAGAAAAAGGAGGGAGGAATAAAGCAGAATTGGACTGGGTTGATCGTCGACAACTAGGTAGTTCAATCGGTAGAGCGTTCGTCTAGAGTTCAGAGGGTCCCGGGTTCGAACCCCGGTCTGACCGTGCATTTTTTCTCTCCTGTTACACCTGTATCATTTACTTCTACTTAATATTAGATACATGTCTGATATGTATATGTCAATACCAGTAATTGTACCAAATTATAAAAATCTGGGTACTTATTCTGTTGGTGTTACTTTCAGGAAAGAGATTGGTGGGCCAATTTGGCAGCATGGTGGAGCGGGAAAGTTGCGGACATATAAGTCTACAAGGGACCTTGATGATCCCAATGGGATAGGCACTCCGAAGACAAAGGCTAAAGAATCAGGTCGTTTCAAGGTTACTAAGAAAGCCAATGACAGGAATGAAACAAATGACATTAAATACAGTGCCTCAAATTGTGGTTCCAAACCTTCTAATACGAACAGTCCATACAAACCTGCAGGGAATAGACTTAACGACGAAAAGAACTCCAGTGAAAATAATAATGATATGGATAGATTTAAGGTCAAAAGTTCAGCAAGGAGGGATTTGTCTCCAGAGTTTGAGTGTCCTGGGAATACAAAACAAGAAGAGGATGCAGAGAGTAGAACAATCGGAAATTATGACTGGCAAAAAATGGAGATATTAAAAACAAAAGTGATAAAGAAAGCCAGTGCGAATGTGATCACGCGGAAGAAATCAGCAGTAAAATCCAAAGATAAAATTTCTGAGAACAGGAAAGTTCCATCAGAAAATGTTTTGTCAAATACGTTGGGAAGAGGGAAAAATACTCCAGTGAAATCTCGACGAGAAAATAGTAGAGAGAGAAAAAGGGAAAGTGTAAATGTAGAGACATTACAAAAACAAAGTCATAAACAACAGACAAAAACACTTGAAACTCAAGCACCTAGAAATTCACTGGAACTTGAATCTGATGTCAATCAAAAAGAACCTCATAGACTGACCAGTCCCAAGTTTCCAAAGCAGACTAACCGAATTTTCGTAGGTGATGATGACTCTGGAAGTAGGTCACCATTGGGAACAGACAGTCCAACTATCCCTAAATATAACACCGATTCACAGTCACTTGTTACGAGTGAAAAACAGTCGCCAAAATGTGATCCAGATGTACATCTATGGTTACGAAGACTTGGATTACTAGAAGAGGAAAAATATGTCCAGATTTTTGCCAAAAATGAAATTGACATGGAAGAATTGGTACTGCTTTCTCCGAAACATTTGAACAAACTTGGAGTGGTTGCAGTTGGAGCATTTAACAAAATTGTACGAGGAATTGAGGAACTACAGCAAAAACCCAGTTGGACTGATGACACGGCAATGTCGGTGAAGTCAAATAAAACATGGTCGCATTGGGAAATAACTACAGCAGAACACTGTCCCTCGGTGTCCGAGAACGACTGGGACCCTAGTCAGGAAAGTCATCCACTATCACCAACACCATGGCAGAATAAATCTATGCAAGTCCCCAAGGGTGTAGGTGATGGAAACAAACTGTTAGAAGTAAGAAGTATGAACGGCCAAGATTTTACCTCGGATAAAATGAGTTCTCATTCATCTGAATCGAACTATTTTGACAAAATCATACTTTTCGAACATGAATCTCACAATGAAAAGTTCAAACCTATGGATGAAGGCGGTGGTAAAAAGGAGACGAAAAAGCTTGACATTAATGGAAATAGAAGAACTTTGTGTCGGTCAAACAGTTTTCATTCTAGATCTTCAACGTCAAAGCCACCAGTGAAACGAGAACAGGAGAGGACTAGTAAAAAAGATGCTGAGAAAAATTCAGATAAGAAAAGTAGCCAGGGTAAGTTACCATCTCGACCAAGGTCAAGGTCACTCTCTCGACGTGGAAGTGTGAGTAAAAATGATGGGAAAGCTCCAACATCTTCTGTAACAACAAAACAGAAAACAGCTTATCAGCAAGATTTGGCTAAAGTGGTCACTGTTGATGCAAGCAAACAACAAAAGAAATCTGCTGGTAATTATATCAGTTTGAGTAGTAGCTAGTGTGACTTATAGAGTATATAGCTAGTGTGACTAATAGAGTATATAGCTAGTGTGACTTATAGAGTATAAAGCTAGTGTGACCTATCACTGTGTATGTAGTTGGTGTGACTTATCACAGTGCATATAGTTGGTGTGACTTATCACAGTGTATATAGCTAGTGTGACCTATCACAGTGTATGTGTAGTTGGTGTGACTTATCACAGTGTATGTAGTTGGTATGACTTATCACAGTGTATATAGTTGGTATGACTTATCACAGTGCATTTAGTTGGTGTGACTTGTCACAGTGTATATAGTTGGTGTGACCTATCACAGTGTATGTATAGCTAGTGTGACTTATCACAGTGTATATAGCTAGTGTGTCCTATCACAGAGTATGTATAGTTGGTGTGACTTATCACAGTGTATGTAGTTAGTATGACTTATCACAGTGTATATAGTTGGTGTGACTTATCATAGTGTATAAAGTTGGTATGACTTATCACAGTGTATATAGTTGGTGTGACTTATCATAGTGTATAAAGTTGGTATGACTTATCACAGTGTATATAGTTGGTGTGACTTGTCACAGTGTATATAGTTGGTGTGGCTTATCACAGTGTATATAGCTAGTGTGACCTATCACAGTGTATTTAGTTGGTGTGACTTATCACAGTGTATATAGTTGGTATGACTTATCACAGTGTGTTTAGTTGGTGTGACTTGTCACGGTGTATATAGTTGGTGTGACTTATCACAGTGTATATAGCTTGTGTGACCTATCGCAGTGTATATACAAATGTAGTTTGTGTGACTTATCACAGTGTATATAGTTGTTGTGACTTATCACAGCGTATGTAGTTGTTATGACTTATCACAGTGTATACAGCTGGTGTGACCTATCACAGTGTATATAGTTGGTGTGACTTGTCACAGTGTATATAGTTGGTGTGGCTTATCACAGTGTATATAGCTAGTGTGACCTATTACAATGTATGTATAGTTGGTATGACTTATCACAGTGTATATAGCTAGTGTGACCTATCATAGTGTATTCATAGTGTATGTATAGTTGGTGTGACTTATCACAGTGTATATATCTAGTGTGACCTATCACAGTGTATGTATAGTTGGTGTGACTTATCACAGTGTATATATCTAGTGTGACCTATCACAGTGTATGTATAGTTGGTGAGACCTATCACAGTGTATGTATAGCTAGTGTGACTTATCACAGTGTATATAGCTAGTGTGTCCTATCACAGAGTATGTATAGTTGGTGTGACTTATCACAGTGTATATATCTAGTGTGACCTATCACAGTGTATGTATAGTTGGTGTGACTTATCACAGTGTATGTATAGTTGGTGTGACTTATCAGTGTATATAGCTAGTGTGACCTATCACAGTGTATTTAGTTGGTGTGACTTATCACAGTGTATATAGTTGGTATGACTTATCACAGTGTATTTAGTTGGTGTGACTTGTCACAGTGTATATAGTTGGTGTGACTTATCACAGTGTATATACTTTGTGAGACTTACCACAGTGTATGTATATAGTTTGTGTGACTTATCACAGTGTATATAGTTGTTGTGACTTATCACAGTGTATGTATAGTTGGCATGACCTATCACAGTGTATATAGTTGGTGTGACTTATCATAGTGTATATAGTTGGTGTGACTTATCACAGTGTATATAGTTGGTATGAATTATCACAGTGTATATAGTTGGTGTGACCTATCACAGTGTATGTATAGTTGTTGTGACTTATCACAGTATATATAGTTGGTGTGACCTATCACAGTGTATGTAGTTGGTGTGACTTATCACATTGTATGTATAGTTGGTGTGACTTATTACAGTGTATATAGTTGGTGTGACTTACCACAGTAGATTTAGTGTGTGTAGCTTTTGTAGGTATATTACTTATGTTACTTTAATGCTGTGCCTTTTTGCTGAAAAAGATAATCCATAACTTTATTCCATGATTTGCATGATACAAGGTGTAAAGAGTTTCTTGAAAATCCTATAAAAATAGTTTATATAGTTAGGATATATTTATCCTGAAAATATTGATACACTGCTACCAGCATAAAGTTACAAAATGTGAAGGGCGAATTTGACGCTGATATAGATTTAACGAGTGAAGTGCGAAAGTTTTGACGGTGCAAAGGTTTCCAAGTAGTTTTTTGTGATGTAGATTTTGGATGAGAAATTGAAGCTTAGGGATAAATAGGGAACATCATCCGAATGGTTTCTAATTAAAGAAACAAGTTTGGTCTATAGTTGGATGAAAAATATAAGGAGGATGAAAATTGTTTCTTTAACCCTTAATTTATAATTGTATCAACAAACTACACAAACACTATATATATATCAGAAACCAAACATTTTATTACCGGGTAGATACAACTTATTTGGTGTACATTTTTTGGTGCAACTTTTCTGTTCATTTCTTAAATATATCTTAAACAACCAAGTATTACTATTTTTTTATCACAGCTATTAATGCAGCAGCTCGGAGACTTGAAGAAAAACAGAAAATGGAAAAGGATTATGAAGAGAAAGAGCAGAAATCAAGAGAAAGGCGAAAACAACAAAGGGATGAATTAGCCGCCAAGCATTTATCTAGAGAAAAAAGCCGGGTAAACAAAGTTTAATTTTACTTTACAGAGATGACAGAACTGTAAGTTTTCTGTCACTGATTGTATAGAGAGATAATGGTTGATTTTTGTCTTGCCGTCATGAGGTAGCGGAAGCGAGACTAAAGTTTTGCTTTTCTGGCAACGACGGCGGCGCCAACATCAAGTTATGCGTTTAAGTTAGTTTCACTGAAAGTATAAGTGCTAGACCAACCAAACTTGGACCATAGATGCATCTTAGGCAGTACAGCTCAACCCATGCATCAAATGCTGGATGCAGCCTACCTTTCATGGTCCGTTGACTTTGTCAGCATCTCCATCAACATTCAGGTTTTTGCATTTAAGTAATTTCTCTGAAAGTATAAGTGCTAGACCAACCAAACTTGGACCATAGATGTATCCTAGGTAGTACATCTCAACCCATGCATCAGATGCTGGATGCAGCCTACCTTTTATGGTCCATTGACTTTGTCAGCATCTCAATCAACATTATTTTTTTTGCGTTTAAAATAGTTTCTCTAAAAATATAAATGCTAGACCAACCAAACTGTACATGTGCATTGATGGTCAAAGCGGGGCACAAGCGAGCCGTATCAATCCGAATGGCTTGTATAGAAACTATACATGTGCATTTAATTACATTACATTTAGAGTTATAATCATGTGATCATGGTTCTTAATATGAATGCAGACAAATTAAATAACACACATTAGTGAATTATGAATATTTGTCTGCAGTCCTGTTCACACAATTATATAGATATAATTCTAAACAGAATGCAGTTCAATACTTATATTTATAATTTCCATTTGTTTAAAAATAAATCAATATTTAAATTTTATTTTTCCTCTTAACATTTAAAAAAGTTATTAACAAATGAAAAAAACCAATTGACCGCCATCTGATCGGTTGTGATGATGACGTCACAATTGTAATGACGTCGTAATCATCAGTAATTCAGATTCATGGTCTCATGAATGACAGCCACCCTTGGTAGGTTTACAGAGCAGATGTAAAGATTTGTCTATTGTCTGTTTATATAGAGAGTAGAGGAAGAGGAAGGGGATGACATGGCCCACATACAGCAATGGGCTACTGATGTCACCAACCACACTCTGGCAGATCTCCTGACGGTCAGCGTGCTGGACACTGGATGTCATACAGGTCAGTTCCTCTGGTCAAAAAAACGTTAACAGTATAGTCATAACTTATGTGATAATGCTTAAATTCTAATTTGATAGGTCAGTTCATATTTTGTCATGGTTGAAATACATTTGAAAGAGACCATACATGCAGGTCAGTATCATATGTCAAAGGTCATTGGGATGGACACTAATGTAAATAAAGTCTTGATAATTCAGTCATCTTCATTCCCAAGAACATCTGAGTTTTAAAATAAATGATTACAGAGACAATGGTAAAAAAAAGAATCCGAAACACTGGCTGGGTAAGTAGTAGGCTAACTTGATTAGTATGATTACTGATAGGAGGATTTAAATGTTTAAATGAATTTCATATCAAAATGTTGACTTGTTGCTGTAGATGAACCAGATGCTACCGGACTTGCCAGTGTTTTGAAGGAGGAAGGAGCCAGGCCGTCCTACAGTAGGCGTACTCCGAAATTGTCCAGTAGACAGAGTCTGGCTGTGCCTCCAAGCACGAGTGAGATCACCAAGGATGACCCAAGTAAGCCTTGCTGTCACTCATTTCCATGGCTAGAGTTGGGGAATAACCCTACCCGACTCTGTGCTCATAGATTTGGGGCAGTATATCATGATTACACTGTTTCAAATTGATTAAAGGAGACACAGAGCGAAGTTGATAAAACAGATATTTGCGAGATTATAATCACAATATATAATCTGCAATAATGTCAAAACACAGTAGGGTTATGCCCTTCCTAATTCATATCAGCTTAAAACATCGAACAAAATTGATGATCTGGGTCATTCTTCTGTGGAAAAGTGACGTCAGTAACATTCTTAGTGAGATAGAACTACATTGATCAACACTGGTTCAAGCTTATGTTCATCACATCATTAATAATCAATATCTTGATATGTCGGGGTCAGTTGTTTGGGCTGTTGACATCATGAACAATAGCCATCTGCGCTTCATACTAGTACTAAAATGAGAAATGGGAATGGTACATCATGTTTGTATGGTCACAGAATATTTTGATTAGCCAATCAAATTCCATGTTACATCTAAAACGAATTAAATATAAGGATATGTGATAGATACTAGATATATATCTCCTTCGCAGAAGAGTTCTACATTGTTTATTAATGCCACAACACTAAAATGACACACTATTCAGAAGGGGTGAAGGGGAGTCTTCCTCAATGTCTATAAGTTTGTGGGTTCTAAGCACAGACGTCATTTCACATTTTATTGGTTAAATATCCATGATGAGGATATCTCAATTTCTCAAAAGAAAAGAGGCAAAAAAAAAACCCCATACATATACTACTGCAGTGTGTATACAGTGGTGTATTTTGTTGTTTTGTGTTTAGATAAGCTCCTGGTGTCATCCTCGCTGAGAATTGCTTCCCGGCCGCCAAGACACAGCACCACTAAGCAGGGGTCATCGACTGCTGTTAGAGACCTGGAACAGCAGGTAAATACTTTTTTTCCCCCCAAAATGGTATTTTTGTGAAATATTGAAACATTAACAAAAATAAATTTCTTGTAGATGAACTATTATTTTCTAGCTGTACATGTATAGGTAGCAGAGTACAGTAGCGTACGGTGGCCATGGGTGATATTTTTATACAATTAATAACTCCTGTAATATAACATGTATCAAAATTTATAAAAAAAATCAGCACTAAAATTGGCATATACATGATGAAGTGGACTATGTGGGCTTCATAATTAAAAAAAAATAACAAACGAATTTGGTTTGAGACTACAATTTTGGGCATTTACAAATCTGTGACTACACAACAAAAGCTAGCTTTTCATGTAGTCTATTTTTGTACTCAGCACATGTGTAAATATTGTGAAAAATCCACCGGAATGACCTATGCTAAAACGTGAGTATTTCTGTTCCCGAGTAGGCGATATTTAATTTCAGACAGGTTTTAAGATAAACAATTCTACTTTTGGGGGTCAAATTCTGGGTTAAAAATCATGATTTTTTGCATATTTTGGTGTTTTTTGATGTGGTAACCATGGTTTTCAGAAGTCCCAAATTTGGGGAAATCACTTTTTCAAAAAAATAATGTTCTTCTAAAAACACCTATTCAAAATGTAGTTTATAAATATATATATATATTTGTAGATGTGTTGTGCAGGATGAATCCGCTATCCATGTTTATCCGAGACATGCCCTTTATTTTTAGGGTCAAGCCATTTCTACTGTACTCTGCCACCATACGTGTTCCTTTAATTCTGACACACAAAATTTTTGAAAATGTTAAAAGTTAGAAATTCTGAGTTCACTTTTTGTAAAGCTTACCAGGCCCTAGCTTCTAGTTGGGGAGGGGGGTGGGGGCTTTTGACACTTGTTCCCACCCACTTACAATGCTGCTGAATGCTGCTGAAAATAAACAATGTGAATATCTTTCAGTCATTCAAATGAGACATGACATTTTATTAAAAAAACCTCTTTTAGATTCCTTTTTTTATGTAAATTGATATAAAAATGGAGGATATATAATCAGGTTCATTAGGTCTATTTGTATTTGGTAAAATTATACATTCGTCCCCATGTCAGATCCAGTCCCTCCAGGATCGTGCGATGTCCGGGGAGCTCATCACCATGGATCTTGTCCGAGATCTTCAGAACCGATTGGTCCAGGTCGAGGCTCAAGTGACCGATCAGGAAAATTTCGATCAGCTTTCAAAATCTCACAGAAAAACCCCATCTACCTCTGTCACAAAGTCAAATCTAGAGAATCATATCGTAACAAGATTGAACTTGAGTGACATTATGTCGAATTCAAATGTTGATGAAAATGTTTCAAAATTGAGACAAGGGGAGGAAACTAGCTTGTTTGAAGACACTGTGACAGTAGATCTACACAGCAACGAAAGTGAAGATGATATTGAAGAGGATTTTAGTTTGATGAAAGAACAAATGAAAGTAAGGAATTCATACCTGGGAAATACAAAGTCGTCCACAGTTTCCATGACAATGAGTAAAAGAGCACTACTGACAGAGATCAAGAAGGAAAAAGCACAACACAGAAAACAAATTAGGTAAGTCAAATTTTAGGTAAAAAACATGTTAATATAATGTTTCACCCAATTGTGCCTAAGGTTGAGGATATCAACATGAGGCTTGCAGAGTTTTTGTCAATTTAAGTATCTTTCCATAAAAGTTGGGTTCTCCATTTCATTCCCAAAGAGGAAAAGATTCTTTTTCTCTTATTCATATTTGCAATTTTGACATTGCATCAATACATAATTGACATGACATCATGAAATTGTTATGACTGGGAACAACTTCATCGAAAACCTAGGGCACGACTCATGTAATCTTACATCCCTGCGGGGATGGGATGGAGAGATTTAAACCCTAGGGCACGACTTATGTAATCTTACATCCCTTGGGGGATGGGATAGAGACATTTAAACCCTAGGGCACGACTTATGTAATCTTACATCCCTTGGGGGATGGGATAGAGACATTTAATCCCTAGGGCACGACTTATGTAATCTTACATACCTTGGGGGATGGGATGGAGAGATTTAAACCCTAGGGCACGACTTATGTAATCTGACATCCCTTGGGGATGGGATGGAGAGATTTAAACCCTAGGGCAAGACTTATGTAATCTTACATACCTTGGGGGATGGGATGGAGAGGTTTAAACTCTAGGGCACGACTTATGTAATCTTACATCCCTTGGGGGATGGGATGGAGAGATTTAAACCCTAGGGCACGACTTATGTAATCTGACATCCCTTGGGGGATGGGATGGAGAGGTTTAAACCCTAGGGCACGACTTATGTAATCTGACATCCCTTGGGGATGGGATGGAGAGATTTAAACCCTAGGGCACGACTTATGTAATCTTACATACCTTTGGGGATGGGATGGAGAGATTTAAACCCTAGGGCAAGACTTATGTAATCTTGCATCCCTTTGGGGATGGGATGGAGAGATTTAAACCCTAGGGCACGACTTATGTAATCTTACATACCTTGGGGGATGGGATGGAGAGATTTAAACCCTAGGGGAAAGGTTCTCAAGTAGGGTATTCACTGAGCTGTTTCTACCTGGGTTAGATGACAATGACCATATACCGTTAACTTTCCTATGTAGTGTAGAACTGTATAGACAACCAGCAGTAGACTGGAACGAAATCAAAAGCCAGTTTACTAAGAGTAGATCTACTATTATTGTATAGAATAAAGTTGAATTTTGAATGCATTGGACCATGAAACAAGGCCAGATTAAAGAACAGACAGACTCCAATTACTACAGTTAAAGCTGAATTTTGCTGTTGACCCGACAACAAACCTTTGTAATCATATCTTGGTAAGGTACCAGAGAAAAGTTATCAATGAATTTTGTAGACTATTGTTTTCTCTGGTATATAGCTTACTGATAAGTGCCTTGTATTTCTCTGTGTTTTTCCCAGACATTTGAATTCAGAGCTGAACAGGATACGCCAAACTGAACCTGTACGGAGCATAGAGGTGGATCCTAAGGAGGTTCGGTTTGATGAACAAGGTAAATACTGTCAATCAATTACTTTTTTGCTTAGGTATTTTCTTTTGCTTTTGTGTATTTTCTCTTTTGTTTTGCATTATAAATATCAAAACAGAATTATCCACAATGTGTCCAGTTGGTGACCAGGTCCTGTATTCTTTTAACCATCCAAAGGCTCAAACTCCTGTCCTCAAGTCATTATTTTGGGGTTCACTGAATAAGATTGAATTTTTTCTCAATGATTTAGAGGAATTTTGGAGAGATTTAAAGCTAAAGAGTGTTTTCAATATCTAAACTTGATTTTTTGTTACTCTGAAATTAGATATTTTATGTTTTCCATGTAGCCTTTATTTTTTTATAAAAGCTTCTGATTTATAATAGAGACTTATTACATTTGGGTACTTCAGTGATTGAATTCATCAGTTATAGCTCATTCACCCCTGAAATTTCATGATGTACTATTCCAACCTTTGAACTGGAAGAGTTCAAATGTGTCTTCAGGGGTGAATGAGTTAATACCATGCGACCTGTTTATTGTACAGATTTGATTGGTGAGGGGACATTCTCTCAAGTATACAAGGGCAAATACCAAGGGACAGAGGTGGCAGTTAAACAGTTGAAGATACCGCTGTCTTCTCAAGACAGAAACTACTTCACTGCAGAGGTAAGTTCACTCACAACTTATTAAGGTCCACAGTGGCTGAGCGGTTAGGAGGTCTGACCGTCTACGATCACTAGCTTTCCACCACTGGATCAGGGGTTTGAGGCGTACCTGGGGCAGTCGCCAGGTACCGACTATAGGTCGGTGGTTTTTCTCCAGGTACTCCAGTTTTCCTCCACCACCAAGATTTGGCACGTCCTTAGATTACCAAAGCTGTTGATAGAACATAAAACACAGCCAAACAATCAAACCATCAGTCACAAGGTACCAATGTATTGTATTACCAAGACATTTTACCTACATGGAAACGAGGTCAGGTTTACCTCCATTAAGGTGTTAAACCTGAGACTACAGATTATCAGTCTAGTGCCTTACTGATTGAGGAAAATGGAAAATCCTTTCAGCCAAATCATTAAAAAGCAATTTTATTGTTCGAAAATATGACCCCTCTAGCTGAGTCTGTTACAAGTGACTAAATGGTTCACAAGTCTGACAACCTCTAGTTGAGTAAGTAACAATAAAAATAGACAGTGTGACCCCTTTGACTTACATCTAGTCGAGTCAGTTACAAGTGACTAGACGGTTCACCACTGTGACATACATCTAGCTGAGTCAGTAACAAGTGACTAGACGGTTCACCACTGTGACATACATCTAGCTAAGTCAGTTACAAGTGACTAGATGGTTCACCAGTGTGACATACATCGAGTCGAGTCAGTTACAAGTGACTAGACGGTTCACCAGTGTGACATACATCTAACTGAGTCAGTTACAAGTGACTAGATGGTTCACCACTGTGACATACATCTAGCTGAGTCAGTTACAAGTGACTAGACGGTTCACCAGTGTGACATACATCTAACTGAGTCAGTTACAAGTGACAGGCGGTTTACCACTGTGACATACATATAGCTGAGTCAGTTACAAGTGACTAGATGGTTCACCACTGTGACATACATCTAGCTGAGTCAGTTACAAGTGACTAGACGGCTCACCAGTGTGACATACATCTAGCTGAGTCAGTTACAAGTGACTAGACGGTTCACCACTGTGACATACATCTAGCTGAGTCAGTTACAAGTGACCAGACAGTTCACCACTGTGACATACATCGAGTCGAGTCAGTTACAAGTGACTAGATGGTTTAACTGTGACATACATCTAGCTGAGTCAGTAACAAGTGACCAGATGGTTCACCTCTGTGACATACATCTAGCTGAGTCAGTAACAAGTGACTAGATGGTTCACCAGTGTGCCATACCTGTATACCTGTTTAGTACTTTACACAGGACATCTGAGTGATTAATTCATTGATTCTATGATTGTTTAGCTGTAATTGGAGCGTGAGTCGCTGCTTCTGTGAGATGGTGTTAAGTAGACTTATGGCTGGTTATTATGTTTATCTAACTCAAGTTCATTAATTTTCAAATTTTTTAAAGATACAAGGTTTACCGAGTATCTTTCATAATAATAATAATAATTTATCACAACCTAGTTCTTAGGTCGTCTCAAAGCGGTTCACAAATTATTATCTGTGGTTATAGTGCCTTTGCAACCAGCCAATATCGTTCTCAACTCCCTGGGGAGCATACAGCCAGTGCTGCCAGTTCGGCGCTCACAGCTAGCATTCAACAATTCTAGCACTGCCCAACCACGTACTCGTTTACAGCTGAGTAGACTAAAACAAGCGGAGTAAAGTATCTTGCTCAAAGATACAACACAGTGACATGCGGTGACTCGAACCCGCAACACTTCGGTCACGAGCCCGGCGTCCTACCAATAGACTACCGCACCTCCACTAATTTGAAATTTGAATAAAAAGTTAGATAAACATGATGAACAACCATGCATCACGAGTTTTGGGACCTTTGTCTCCCACGACATGTTACATTCAGATATTGTACTTTGACTTCACAAAGGAAGATGACGTCGCAAATCATTGTTACTTGGTATCATAGAAGATTGACCAATGAAATCACGTCCAAGGCATAACCCACTACTGGCTAACCAAAATGTTTACCAACTCCTAGCAGGTTTATGCAATGAGTTGGGAGAATTGAAATCTATAACGGCTGTAGGAGAAGTATAAATAACCACATGTGACCCTAAGGTTTGTGTACTCAATGTCCCCAGGTGAGCTTGCTGCGTGATCTTCGCCATCCCCGGGTCGTGTTACTGATGGGCGTGTGTAGCTCCAGTAGACTTCCGTTGATGGTGCTGGAGTATATGGCCAGGGGGAGTCTGTATCACCGTCTCCATAGCACCACCAGGTAAGTAAGGTCAAGGGTTAGGCTAACTACATTCATCTTTCTCATATTTTTTACCAGAAGTATTTAATTTACATAATATATATGACTTAGAGCGTCATTAGTTGATCCTGTCACAGACACGGAGTCATGAATATGGCTTTAACTGTTTTTTGACCCTGTGCTTACAAATATTGTCAGGGGTCAAATACTTTCCATTTGAGTTACTTTTCAATGAAGTTAAATACAGTAACTTTTGGATGAAAACCGTAGATAAGCATTTGTTGATGAATATCTCTGTATTACAGGGAGCCCCTGGACCATGCCGAGTATTTCCGCATCTCTCATGACATTGCCCTCGGGATGGCTTACCTCCATCAACAAAAGCCAGCAGTTCTTCACCTCGACCTCAAATCCATGAATGTTCTCATCTGTAGTAACGACCGTGCAAAGATTGCCGACTTCGGCTTCTCAAAATTAAGGTAGGCAACTTTTTTCTTGTTGGAAGCTTTAGCCTAATGCTTTGAGGAATTTGTGACCTCTGTAGCTTCTAAAAGCATTAGATCAAATGTTGTTGTAATCAGTGCATTGTATTTAGTGTTGTATACGTCAATATGAAAATGATGTCTTGCTGTTGTTGGCTTTAACTTATTTAAATACCATTTTCGTTGTTTGTTAAATTATTGCTATCATATAACGAATTAATGTTTTACGTTTAGGAGATTACACCAGTACAGTAGAGATACATACTATATACCAGGATTTTTTTGATGAAGTTTAACTTTTGCATTTTACAACATCTGTACATTGTACATACAGAATAACATAAAGTTATTTGTTAATATATTTTGTAGTTAACTCACTCACCCTTGAAGACACATTTAAACTCTTCCAATTCAAAGGTTGGAATAGTTCATTATGAAATTGCAGGGGTGAATGACTTCATCTATTTTCAAGATATATATATATATTCTGTGCTATTCATTTTTTTTATTCAAGTCTCTATCAAATACCGATACCCTTAACCCCTTCCTTATGTCAGTATTTCTATTAAAAAGAAACACTTAACTTTAAAACAATTCATAGCTTTGAGATATTTTGGATCAGATAATATGTTTTGATTTATTTGGTGTTTGGAGTGAATGAGCCAAAATTATTTTCAACATAATTTCACAGTGCCAGAAATATATCCCCTCAACATCCGGATTTCGGCAGATAGTCTTCTTACTCATTTATAATGCATCCTGCAGTTGCTAATTCTGCAAGCTTTCCAGGCTATAGATGATCAAGTCCTGTCATTTAGACGCACATCTATCGTAACATAACAGAATAAATTGGTATAGTCAACGGAAAAAAACAAAATTTCGCACACAGTATCGTCAAATGCCAAATTTATGCACCAAAATTTAATCTTCCAATTTTTAGCAAAAAAAAAAAAAACCGCAGAATTTCGGCAACCCCAAAATATCTCAAAGTACAGTATATTCATAAGTCTCATTTAAAATGTTTAAGAATATTCAATTCACTCAATAGTTTAATATGTTATATATTTCAGACCTGCACCGCTACAGCTATTACGAAAGTACAAATGTCAATCACTATTACTGCTGCACGCAATACTGTTTGATGTTGAAATTTGTACATAATACACATACACACACACACAAAACATGATGTTCCTTCACTCTTGTGCTTTTTTTTGTGTGACAGAGTTTAGAGTGGTCACTTTACACTACACAGCTACACAAAACAAACTAGTGCTAGATTAACAGAATGTTTACCTGGGGTGAGGTATATAGATGAGGTGACCATACAGAATATATATCAGTACAGTCATACAAATCAAACTTCGATGATTCAAATTTCTCAATTTGTCGAACTTATAGTAAAGTCTGGAATTATTTCCTTATATAACTCTATTGATTTTTCATTTATGAACTGAACTTTGATCAGCCAAATTTCACGCTGTTTCGAACTACAATCAAGGTCACATCTGTAGGAAAACATTAAAAAATTACAATTTATAAATTGAAGCAAAACAATTACCTGTATGATGAGAACAGTAAAATGTGCTGGGGTTATTTTATTACCAAAACATGCAAACTAATCCTGGATTTTTTTTTACCAATAATTTTGCAAAGTTTGAAACATCAAAGTCTGACTGTATACTGATATTTTATCCCAAGATATGAAGCACCTCATCTATACCACCTTTGGGCTTCCCAGAGATATTTCTTGCCTACCAATCTAAAAAAAAATCATTTAGAATTGCCAAAAAAATAAGTGCCATGCAGTCTTCATGATGGGTACTGTCATTATTTTTATTATAGCCTGTTGTGACAACATGAATGGTTCCATTGATACTGGGTGAATAAGGATTTTAGTAGTGAAGGTTGAAAGTTTGACTTGGCAAAAGTTTAAATCACAATCACTGCACAATTTTGTGATGTCACAACAGTTATCCAGACCCGTGGGTCAGAAAAAAATAGCCAGTATCAAATGGTATACGGATTTCCTGATCTTGTGGGCAAGAGAAACTGCTTCCAGTCTACTGCATTGCTGCTGCATGTGAAAATAATTTAAACAGATTCAATGAAATACATGCTTGACCAGAAAATGATTAAGTTGGTAAAACTTTTGTACGGTGTGAGCTGACGATTCTATTGCATGATCTAGTCCTGAGCCACTTTCATTTATCCAGTTAGACCATTTCAACTGGTTCAAACTTATGAGAAATGACAGGCACAGTTTGGCATTGAGGGTGACCTCTGGAAAAATTTGACGCATACTGTATAACAGGTTATTTAGGGGGGAGGGGGGGAATAATAATTTTAGAAATTTTGACCAAAAATGAGAAATGTTCATTTACATGAATTATAATTACGTGATCTAGACATGTGAATGAATTAAATTTTTGTGGTGTTTTAGCACAGAGATGGGTCACTCTGCATATGAAAAGTGTCAAATAGTCAAATGAATAGACAGTATTTTAGCATATTGAGCAGCAACAAATGAATAGACTGTATTTTAGCATATTGAGCAGCAGCACATGAATAGACTGTATTTTTCAAGCTTTGCCTTTGATGTCTGCCTACTTTTGATCCAAGTGCTTTCGTTTACCACAGACCAGTTAACCATTTTTCTGTGCCATCTGGATCAATTCAACAGGATAAATGAAAGCTACCCAGGTTTTGTGGGCAAATACTTCTTCTTGTGGGCTTAAGCTTTACTTTTAAACAATTCCTTATCCAAATTATAAATCTGGTAGTCCTGGGGCTTCTAATCTTGCTGTTAGATTATAAATATAAATGAAAATTACAATGTCCTTTATAAAGATCCCATAATAGGTCACATTTGTTTGTTTGAACTTTATTATTATTATAAAACTTTAATTCATAAACATGTGAACCCGGGTAAGTAGCAAACGAATATTTCAGGACTTCAAGGTTAAAATCGGAAGTGTAAATTGCTTGTTTTAGTTTCTCTATTGAAAGTATTTTAATAATTAGTCTTTATCGTAAATATAGATGATGTGTTTTTCTAGAACCATTTATAGTCGGTTCACAAAGATTAATGGTTAATCAATGAAGAAGTTTAAATGCATTTTTTTCATTTTCATTACACTTACTAACAGATGTCAAATTGATCACAAGGTGTGTGAGGTTTCCTTCTTTTAAAGATCAAAGGTTATTAACTCAACCTCATATTTGAAGCCAGCTATTTCTGGTATTAGAAATAATGATAAGTAAAATGTATATTTGGTCGGTGTATGCTTTTTTACTAATATGTACCCGTACTGCTAGATATTCAACTCATTCACCCCTGAAATTTCATAATGAACTATTCCAACCTTTGAATTGGAAGATTTCAAATGTGTCTTCAGGGGTGCATGAGTTAACATAGTTACCCTCGATATGAGTTTAAACAGAAATCAATGAAGAAAAACAGTTATTTATGTAAACTTGTCACCACAGATATGATGCTAATCTGAAGGCAACGAAAACATCAAAATCAAAACCAGTGCAAGGCTGCCCTGCTTGGATGGCCCCTGAACTACTGGAGACAGGGGAGCTAACTCCAAAGGCTGATGTGTACAGCTTCGGGGTGATACTCTGGGAAATGTTGACAAGAAAGCAGCCGTATGAGGGATGTTCTGTGTTCCAGGTAGGCTATGGTAATAATCCGGTCTACAGATGCTTTATGTGTTGCTGACGATAAAATGAGAATCAAAGCAATACTGTAGTTTAGGAAAAGCATATCTTTTCTTGTGGGATGGGGTTCATTTTATATGGTAATTGTTATTTGGGCATTGTATGGTATGGAAATCATAGTATGGGAGTTGTGGTATGGGAATCAAGATGGGGGAGTTGTGGTTTGGAATAATGATGTGGGAGTTGTGGTATGTAAATAATAGTATGGCAGTTGTGGTATGGGAATCATAATGTGGGAGTTGTTGTATGGGAATCGAGATGTGAGAGTTGTTGTATGGGAATCAAGATGTGGAAGTTGTGGTATGGGAATCAAGATGTGAGAGTTGTTGTATGGGAATCAAGATGTGGAAGTTTTGGTATGGGAATCATGTTTGGGAGTTGTGGTATGGGAATCAAGATGTGGAAGTTTTGGTATGGGAATCATGTTTGGGAGTTGTGGTATGGGAATCAAGATGTGAAAGTTTTGGTATGGGAATCATGTTTGGGAGTTGTGGTATGGGAATCAAGATGTGGGAATTGTGGTATGGGAATCATGATGTGGGAGTTGTGGTATGGGAATCAAGGTGGGGTTCTGGTACTTATAAGTTATAATTGTCTTTCACTGATAACCATCCTTACTGTTTTTGAAGGTACTGGAGAGAGTGAGGTTGAACAAGAGACCAGAGATACCCTCAAGCTGTCCAGCCGAACTCACAAAGTTTATACAGCAGTGCTGGGCACCTGCTCCATCCAAACGGCCTCCATTCAAGGTAAAACACTGAAAGCCATAGAAACGTATCTAACCATATGACAGCTTGTACATTTAACACAAAAATCTTTGTTTCTTTAAAAAGGAAATCTTGTACTTTTTCTTACTTTTGTACAACATGAGCAACTATAAGTACATGATATGTAGGGTGGTCATAGATCAAAACAGTGGTATATCCAAGATGGCGGACATTTGTGAACAGGAGGGTACTCGCAATTAAGCCCCCTCCCTACTTGTGGAGTATTTTATTTTACTATGGGTTGGGGCTTATTTGCAATCAAATACAGTAATGAGAGAATCAACAAGGAAATGTTGTACACTTAACAAGGAAAACATGTAACTCTGAAAAGAAAATTAATAATATGAAAATCTTGTTGCTCTTATACATTTGTATAGCAGTTCTGTCACATTTTCCCCTATCCCAATATTAGATGTCACTGAAATATTTTTCAGTTGCTGACATTACAAATGTATTTCCAATATTTAATTATTTGATTTCAGTCCTTTAAAATTGTTTGACAGATTTAACTTTGAATTGATGTGAAACAAAACATTCCGTTTTATAATAATAATGGTGAAAGTAGGACCAAGTAGGCAACATAGTGATAAATGTTGAAAAGTCCACTTCTTTCTATAATGGTATGTCTCTATTATGAAATCAAATATTTTGGTCTTGAAGACGGATCAAACTTTTTTCAATATTCCACAGAATGACATTCAAATACTACAGATAAAATGTTTATTACATAAGTTTGCCATTTTCTCAGCTTATATGCTATTTCAAATGTATATATATTACTAATAATAGCTTAAACAAGGAAGAAATTGCCACCAGGTCACTTAGTATACATAAGTCATATTTGAAGCTTTGTTTATAATTTGTATTCGATACTTTTTCCTGCAGGAGATACTGACGCAGTTGGAAAATATGACATTTCCCAGCGAGTGGCAGGACCTGTTCCGGGAGGCAGGAGTTCCTCCGGAGGCACTGGAGGATATTCACTCCGCCCGAACTATAATCAGTCTTGTAACCAACTCACTGGACACAGCCAATGCCAAAATTCTTATTGAGGATATGAAACTCAAACGGTCCTTTGGTACATATGTAGAACCGGAGGATGGGCCTTATACAGCCAACCAGGGTTCTTTATCGCCAAAACAAAGTGATTACACCACAAAGTCGGGAGAGAATAGGCCAACAAGTTCACAAAGAAAATCTCAGGACATTTTAAATGAGGTTCTCAAGTCAAGAGATATTAGTCCAAGAAAAATAAATTCTGCCCGGTCTCCACGAGATCATTTAGCACAAATGAATAACACGGAATCATCACGGAAACCTCTTGTCATCCCAACAGGGGAAGAAGGTTCCCCAGACACATCTAGATCCTTCGGAAGCAGTCGTAGTTCCCCAGACAAAAGATCCACTGAAAGAATTCATAACTCCCCAGAAACACCTAGACCTATCAGGGGCAGTCTGGACGCTTGGAGCAGCCCCCGAGGCATGTGGGACGGAATGGGAAGCGTTAGAAACAGCATTGCTGCAGATGCTGAGAAATTGGTGAGAAACAACATTGTGGCAGATACTGAGAGGTTAGTAAGAAACAGCATTGCTGCAGATGCTGAGAAATCAGTGAGAAACAGCATTGCTGCCAATACTGAGAGGTCAGTAAGAAACAGCATTGCTGCAGATGCTGAGAGGTCTGTGAGAAACAGCATCACTGCAGATACTGAGAAATCAGTGAGAAACAGCATTGTTGCAGAAGCTGAGAGGTCAGTAAGAAACAGCATTGTTGCAGAAGCTGAGAGGTCTGTGAGAAAAAGCATTGCTGCAGAAGCTGAAAAATCAGTGAGAAACAGTATCGCTGCAGAAGCTGAGAGGTATAATCAACATCAGATCAATGTAAGACAGAGTTTTACAGGTACAGCAAGTTTTTCTGATGTCAGATGTTCTAACGATGGCAGAGTTCTTGCGGCTTCTAGATCGCCAAGAACACAGAATAACTCTCCACGGTTGGATAGCAATAGCAGATCCTTGGATGTGAGTAATAATTCTGTTGGTTCAGTGAGCTCAAGAAAAGAGCAGACTGGTTTTAGAAAAAGTCTTATGAGTGACATTCGCAACAGTAATGACATTTTAACGAAAGGCAAATCACCTGTAGATTTAAGACAGAATTTACTAAGTGAAGTGAGAAAGAGTAAAAACGTATTAAAGAAAAGTGCACAGACTGTGACTCCAACATCAGATAACCTAGAGAATGTATGTGTCCGGTCAAGTACACAGGTAACCCCAAGATCACAAACTGATGTGAAGGACTTCCAAAGTCAAGTCATAAACTCCAGAAATTCGCTGAGGAAAAGTGTGCAGGGGACCCCAACATCTCAAGCAAGCATGGCAGAAGTTGACCCACGTGGGGCAGTGATTGATCGAATCAAGACGGCAGCCCCTATTCAGCATCAAGAGAAGTTAGGTAGAAACATAAGTCGGGACAGCCTCAACGTTTCACAGGATATTGAGATAGAAAGTATTGATGCAGATAGTCTGGATTCGCTAACGTTACGAGACAGTCTGGAGGAGATTTTAGAAGACTACCCAAGGAATGTTTCTCGAGCAGGTGTAGCCAACAGCCCAAGACCACAGACGAAGCCAAAACCTACAGACCTGAAATCAACGAAAAAGACTACAAACAGTAAGCCAGAACAAGTTAGTGAAAAGGTAAGGGTGGGAGCTTCTACGAACTGGATGGCAGAGCTAAGTAGTAAACTTCATAATCTGGGACATTTCTCAGACCAGGAGAATTCTACAGATGAAACAGCATCTGGACCGATTCTCTCCTCACAGCTCAAACAACAGAAACGGAAATCAGGCGGGAAAATTAGAGGTGATGGTGCCAGCAGAAATCATCCTACACTTACACCAAATTCTAATGAGCCTCTACACTCAAAACATAATGTATCTAGTGCATACAAAACACATCATCTACAAAGTGGTGCTGATGCTGAATGTGTCTCGTCTCATCCCTCTCCCCCACAGGTCCCGGCACCCCCACCCCCTGCCCCACCCCCACCCCCAGTTCTCTCAGTGACAGTGGGCAAGAAACAGATTGTGAAGCCTGCCATTGTTTCTAAGGACCTACCTCAGGCATCTAGGGCAACGAACCGCGGACTACAATGCGGAGTTGCTCAGGTAGAGAATATGAACAATCCTCAGTTGATGTTGAAGTCGACAGATCTACGTGATCAAAAAGAAACCCTGGTGTCCACATCTAAACCACACCCCAGCCAGCTCCACGACCTCCGACACGTCAAAAAGAGTACCATGGTGTCCATCGCGGAAATACTCAAAAAGGTGAGATATATTTTGTACTTGTTATATTATGTCTCCCCTTCGAATGAAGGGAGACATATTGTATTAGTACTGGTTCTTCTCGCAATTCCGACGTTTTCTGCTATTATCTGGTGTGATTGTTTATGAAAATGTTATTAATTGTATATTCATGTAAATACTTAAGTGTGTGTACCAAACATTTACCATTTCAACCACTTATTCTACCGTCGCTTCATTTGAATCTGAACAAAAAAATCGTTGCTTTTGAATGCAGCAAATAGAAGAAACCGTTATGATTGGTCAATACCAAAAAGTGATATTTTCACAGTGTGAAAGATATCAGTTTTATCAAGTTGATAGAATCCGATATTTCACTGGCAAAAATGTAATAAATTATTTTCTTTGTAGGCTGTATCTAGTAGGCGAATGGCACTTGGAGAAGACCCTAACAGTCCCTCACAGTCTGTGGCTAGTAGCTGGTCACTCATGGATGACTGACCACCCAACCTACATTATAACATACCAAAGGATTCACTTATATAGGGCTGACCAGTGGTCACCAGAGGTAGCGGACAGTAGAGTTTATCCCTACTCCAATACATGTACATGTACTACCAAAATAGTACAGTACTGTCACTAGTGTTGTTACCTATCACAATAAGATACCAACGGCTGATTTCGCTTCGTAGAATCTTGGCTGACGTTGGTTATCATCCTTCTAAATGGGAGCTATGTCGCTTTGTGCATCTGGTCCAGATTTCTAAAAGTAAGAGCTACATTCAGACTTAAGTTTTCGAACAGTGTTTTTTTTCCATAACACATATTTGGCATTGAATTCAATTCAGGTTTGAAATATGAAAGAATGGTTAATTGGTTAATGCTTCTTCATTTCTTTATATCTTGGTGTCCCTTCAGACTTTTTAAATTATCTTTAAAAAAACTATTTTAGTGTGAGCAAATATGAAACTTGAATTTTAAAATTCATTTATATTACTTTGGATAAAAGCATGTAATTTGTTTTTTATAAATTTGAAAAGAAATATGATACATTTTTTTACAATTTACTAAAATTTAATCAAATTACATACTATGAATTATGCAGGGGCAGAATATAATTTCGAGAAAAACAACAACAAAAACCCCTACGACTTTTTTATGTTTTTGTTTCGAGAAATTTGGAGCCTATTAGCCAGTTATGGGAAATTGGAGAGTTCTATATATACATGCCAATGTTGTTACTCTGTATCTCTCAATTTTGTGACCGTTAGCTAGCTTTTCTGTGATATTATTTGCTAGCAACTACAAAACATTCCTAAATGATCAGTATATGTATAAAATGTTGTAATGATAAAATTATAACACAGTAGATTTAAAAAAAAATTACTGTATTTATTGTTTAAGCACTTTTTATGGTGTTTTTTTTATATACAGTATAGTGTTAAGATAAACTATACACTATCTTGTTTGTGATATTAAATTGTTAACTCATTAACCCCTGAAGACACATTTGAACTCTTCCAATACAAAGGTTGGAATAGTTCATTATGAAATTTAAGGGTGAATGAGTTAATGTTTTATGCTGATCTACATACACTCAACCCTTTGTATGTTTAGGTGGAGTCTAGACAGTTATAGCATGTTAGTGTATAAAGAATGTGGGTTAACGAGTCTGTGCGTGATTTTGTGAGACAGGAAGTGGTTGCGAGAGTTTGTGGTAGTTTGAGTATACAGCTATAAGCGACGAGAATCTCATTTTTTTTCCAATTGTCAATGTCAGCCACTGCCTTCGTGGGCTTGTAAGAATGCGGTGGACATGAAGTAAACCTTGACAGATGTTGACATATATGTGAGGCGTGTCGTGAGAAACTTATATTACACAAATAAAGATATTTGTTCACATTTGAATATACATGCTGTGTAGCTTTAGCTGTATACCTTTAATATATATCACTTCATGTCATTGAATTTTTTTTGTATTACATATAAGTTAAGTTATAATGAAGATGTTTTATATATTTTTGAGAATGATTAATAAGATATATATACACATATATACATATATGTCCGAATGGCTAGAACCAGTCTATTTTACATTTCTTATATGTTGTGTTCATCATTTACTTATGTCCGTCCTGTAGATAATCTTATTGTACGATATTTAATTATTTACTGTGTCTGTCCTGTTGGTCAGTCTTTTACAACGTTGACCAATGATGTATTTTATATGTTTATTTGTCATGTCCTTCCTGTAGAGTATCCACCACAAAGTTGACCAATTATCTGTTTTACATGTTTATTTGCTGTATCCATCCTGTTGGTCAGTCTCTCACAAAGATGACCATTAGTCTGTCTTACACATGTTCTTATTTGTGTTGTCCGTCCGTTAGAGCTAAATATCCCCCACAAAGTTAGCCAATGATTTATTTTACATATATTTATTGACCATTTAATTTACTTCCTGTAGATCTGCTTATATTTGTTATGTCCATCCTTCATTATCTTTTAAGTTATTTAGATAAACTCTTCCTCTGTTTGTGAACAATTTGTAAAAAATATATACATGTGTAACAGGAGATGGAAGAATGCACGGCCAGACCGGGATTCAAACCCGGGACCCTCCGAACTCTAGACGGACACTCTACGAACTGAGCTGCCTGATCACCGATGATTGACCCTGTCCAGTTCCGCTACACGTGAACGTGTAAACTTTGCTGTAATTATAGTTTTAGGTTTTACAAGTTGAAATAAATGTATATTCAGCTTCTACAGTAAGATGTCATCATATACAGTATATGGTAAATAATACCTACCTGTGTCACACCTGTCAGTCATATCCGTGTCACACATGTCGGCCACACCTGTGTCACACCTGTCAGTCAAATCTGTGTCACACATGTCAGTCACACATGTGTCATACCTGTGTCACACATGTCACTCACACATGTGTCACACCTGTCAGTCATCCTGTGTCACACATGGCAGTCACACCAGTGTGACACATGTCAGTCACACCTGTGACACACATGTCAGTCATATCTGTGTCCCACATGTGTCATACCTGTGTCACACATGTCACTCACACATGTGTCACACCTGTCAGTCATATCTCTGTCACACATGTCAGTCATACCTGTGTCACCCATGTCAGTCACACCTGTCAGTCATATTTGCGTCACACCTGTCAGTCATATCTGTGTCAGACCTGTCAGTCATACTGTGTCACACATTGCAGTCACACCTGTGTCTCACATGTCAGTCACACCTGTGTCCCACCTGTCGGTCATATCTGTGTCACACCTGTTAGCCGAACTGTGTCACACATGGCAGTCGCACCTGTGTCACACATGTCAGGCACACCTGTGTCACACATGTCAGGTGTCACACCTGTCAGTCATAGCCGTGTCACACCTGTGTCACACCTGTCAGTTATATCTGTGTCACACCTGTGTTACTTCTGTCAGTCATATCTGTCTCACACCTGTCAGTCATATCTGTTTCACACCTGTCAGTCATACATGTGTCACACATGTCAGTCATTCCTGTGTCACACATGTTAGTCCCACCTGTGTCACACCTGTCAGTCATATCTGTTTCACACCTGTCAGTCATACATGTGTCACACATGTCAGACACACCTGTGTCACACATGTCGGTCACACCTGTCAGTCATATCCGTGTCGCACATGTCGGCCACACCTGTGTCACACCTGTCAGTCGTATCTGTGTCACACCTGTGTCAGACCTGGCAGTCATATTTGTGTCACACATTTCAGTCACACCTGTCAGTCATATCTCTGTCACACATGTCAGTCATACATGTGTCATACCTGTGTCACACATGTAAGTCACACCTGTGTCACACCTGTCAGTCGAACTGTGTAACACATGGCAGTCACACCTGTCAGTCATATCCGTGTCGCACATGTCGGCCACACCTGTGTCACACCTGTCAGTCATATCCGTGTCTCTCCTGTGTCACACCTGTCAGTCATCCTGTGTCACACATGGCAGTCACACCAGTGTCACACATGTCAGTCACATCTGTGTCACACATGTCAGTCATTCCTGTGTCACACATGTTAGTCACACCTTTGTCACACCTGTCAGTCATATCTCTGTCACACATGTCAGTCATACCTGTGTAACACATGTCAGTCACACCTGTGACACACATGTCAGTCATATCTGTGTCCCACATGTCAGTCATATCTGTGTCACCCCTGCCAGTCATACTGTGTCACACATTGCAGTCACACCTGTGTCTCACATGTCAGTCACACCTGTGTAACACATGTCAGTCACACCTGTCAGTCACACATGTGTCATCCCTGTGTCACACATGTGTCATACCTGCGTCACACATGTGTCATACCTGTGTCACACATCTGTCATACCTGTCAGTCATATCTATGTCACACATGTCAGTCACACATGGGTCACACATGTCAGTCACACATGTGTCTTACCTGTGTCACACATGTGTCATACCTGTGAGTCATATCTGTGTCACACCTGGCAGTCATATCTGTGTCACACATGTGAGTCATATCTGTGTCACACCTGTGTCACACATGTCAGTCACACCTGTGTCAAACGTGTGTCATACCTGTTAGTCACATGTCAATGTTTTGTTATTGCAGTCCTCATTAACTTACCTACCTCCATTTTTCAAACTGATTGATTTCTTAATCATTCTTTAATAGACCATGACTTGTCTGCCCTCCGAAAAACACTGCAACTGTTTGTGTATTGTGTCAACAAAGATTAATTCATTCCTTTTTGTTCTTTGTACATGTGATATAGCTAGGTTTATTGGACTTGTAATAGATATTTATTGCTATTTTATCATCCATCGGTACATATCTGTTTAAAACTTTACAATTATCATTCCAAAACTACAGCACTTCATTTTACCCCTTTTCTGCAGAATATTTAAGGTCTTGAATTGATTATATATCTATATGTATATATTGTAGTGTCTGCTTCATTTTGATGTGTGAGATTTCTTTGTAGTCTATAGCGTACGTATGATTCATACATTGTATAAACCATCGGTTCACAGTTTCAAACCCTCATTTCATAACATATGCGACTGCGTCCGATATCCATATGGAAGGTTTCGCATTCAGGAACACAAACATTCCGATATCACTTCTAGTCACTGAAATTTCTAGATATGTTATGCACCATACAACTCTGTTAAGTTTTATACATTTTTTTTTTTTATAAAATACTGTTTTGTTAACATTGTATTAGACCCTGTTGAATATTTTTGAAAAATAGATTTTCCTTTTTGATTGTCATTGTGATTTTTTCTGTATTATCTGTGGTTATTAAAAAAATTTCAATTCATATGGATTTTAATCTGTGCATCCTTGGTACGTTGTTTAAAATTGGTGCAGTCTTTTTTACCCTCATTTCCATAAATCGTTAAGAAAAAAAACTGTTTTGTTACATGCTATTACACCATTGGTTAAATAGAATTCTCCCAATTCCCCCCTCTGTCCCCCAAAAATATACAGGAGTAACTTAAGATGGTGTGATGTCAGTATGCCTCATGCTATCATAATCAAATTATCAAAAAATATACCCATGCACTAGGAGAGATGAAACTAGCAGTTACAGGGGAAAGTAATTAAGATAATGGGGTGACCAATATACGATATTCTACAGCAAGTTAAATACAAGGAGAGTTACCGGCGCGATCTTTTATAATCTGCACTAAATTATCTTTATTACTGTGTTGCACATATCTTTAAAATTTCGAAGATTTTTTTTTTTTTTTTTATTTTGGTTTAAAATCAATTTGTAAGTTATGTACAGGAAATGTTGTATTTCACGTTCTGCGCTCAAATATATATACATGTATCTCAACCCGAGACCAGCCAATGGATTTACATAATACTTAGTATATAGCTGTTTGATAGTGTTAATGCTGGGTACATGTGAACTTGTGTATTTATTTTCATAGGGCTGATATTTGTGAATTATAATATTCACACACAAAGAACAGTGAAATATTACTACAGCAGATTTAGGTTGGATCCTTAAAGCCAGTAAATACATTGTAAAACTAAGTCAAATTTTATGTTTTCTCGAGATTTTCCTCTCTGCTTTGTCTTTGCATGCTTGCCAGCATCGTGTGTACATGTCATAGCTAGGGGCGTGGCACAGATGCCCTCCCCACAGCGAGTCTGTGAATGTGTAACTCAGTGATATACACATACACACACCTTGGGGTGATGATTGCTGTACATGTGCTACACCCCTGTGGCATGTGTCACAGCTGTGAAACTTTATTAATTTGAACAATTGATTTACGAAATTATATCACTCAGATCTCAAAATTACTTTTACATGAAATAAAAAATTTCAATGCTATATATAGATAATGCATCATACGTTTTAAGCAAACGTCGAGGAACTCGCTTTTTAGTTTTAGAAGAAACCTGTTATACAGTGAAATGTGTCTAATCCGATACCCTGTAGATTCAAACAAATATTTTGAATAGACATAATGTCGTTAGAAGGTAGAGATTGGAGAAGTAGGATTTCTGGTGTATATCAAAGATGAAAGGATATCAGAATGCTCAGTGGTCAGATTAGGCAGGTTTCATTGTACATAAATTCAGTCATTCCTCTAATCTGAGTATTAATAATCTGGTTGCCCTGCAAATGTTGAACAATACATGTATTTTCATAAAAGTTTCACAATAGTCCAGACCTTTCACAATGCATCCCTTTAGCTGAAATTATAGTGAAGGTTGCTGAATTGATCACAAGGCTTGACTGTACTTTACTTGATAGGACCATGTCAACAAAATGAAATATGATTACTTTTTTTTTTATATTAGCCACTCATTTCAGAACAGATTTGGTTTGATTTCAAATTGTTGCCTATTATTTTTTTAAATGATCCTGATTGTTATTATAATCATGCTTGAATCATTTTGAAATTGTGTGCAATATACAGATTTGTTAATTAATCTATAAACTATATGTTGAATACTGTTAAATTGATTGATAACAAACTCTGAAAATTGGAATCCATAGACTGTTGCTTCATGCAGTCTTCAAGGTCCGAAATTTCCTAATAACAATGTTAATTTTGTTTTTTATATGAAAGCTGATCGAAGGCCATGAATCTTATGTGTAATTACAGATTTTAATCTAATAGTTTCCAATGAATGTTGAATAATTCTTTTGAAACAAGAATCATTTTCGGTTTTGTATTTTCTAAGTTACATGTATGTGAGAAAATGAAAGTCAGCTGGCATATGAAATATTATTACACACTTCAGTTTCCCAATTTTTTTTTCACTGTTAAATATTTATGGTTAGTTCTTTTCATTACATTTCAAAGAACAGAGGAACATTCCTTATAATAGCTCAATTTTAATGCTGTCCTCTTAGTAAAAGCTGAATGTTGCTTTCCTATAAGTGATTGTCTCCCTTGGATCAGAAGCTCGTACACTCGATTGTATACAATTAAATGCTATTTCTCTTAAGGATCCCTGTACCACTGACATAAACTCTAACTAAGCGTTGGAAACGTTTTTCCGGTATGAATATAGCTTTCATAACTCATTTCTGAAAAGTTATGTCATTGAAGATAAAATAAATAAAAAACAACAACAACAGCTAGTGTTCTGAGTGGAAAAAATCAGCAGGGCTGGACCAGAATTTGAATACTTGTCACTTAAGTTTGTTATACTATGGCACGAACAAATTGAGCTAACTGGTCAATGGAAGTGGCCTAGCCAAACTGTGGTACAGTTATATATCCATCTGTGACAATACACCAGGGGCCTGTTCGTTTATGCGGAACAACCCGCCGGTACGTCCGTTTTAAATGTAACATTTTCAGGTATAAATCCTGATGGACCTGCAAAAGTTTATGCAGGCCTTGCAAGGCTTGGTCAAGGCTTGCCTGAAAGCACCATCATATTACCTAGGTCCAACCTTATTTCATAAACGAACAATTCTGGTCTGACCGGTTCAACCGTTCAGAAGTTAAAGGGAGGTTACTGTATATTCGAAAAACCACTGCAGTGGAACAGGGATCCTTAAGTGGAACATTTCTCAATGGTCTGATATTTTATAAATGGTAAATATATTTTATGTTGAGGATCAAAAAATTTAATTATTCAAATTAATTTGAATAAAAAAGTGACTTCAGATTGATTTAATTGCCTAAAATTGCCTTGTCTTTTGTATCATAAATAATACTTTTTCTTATTAACTCAGGATGAGAGATTTTAAGGATATCAATAATAAATCAAAAGGCTGCCTTCTTGTCCTGTTAAGTGTGATGTTGTCTTGTTAATGTTAGAATTATAGTATCAATTTTATCTTGAGTTTTTGTATTTTGATTGAGATTGATGATGTAGTGTATGTAAATTATATATATAGGTATTTCTATATTTACTCAATAGTTGTACTATATGTCCTGCTAGGAGTTCAGAGGTCACCAATAGTCTGCATTTAGAGTTGTCACACCCATAAACACCATTGGCGTAGCAATACATGTTTCCTTGTATACTTAAGCATACACTAAGATTTTTTTCCAATCATATGTTTTTATTAATTTCTCTTTTTTTTTAATGATTGATATGGACTGTCCATCATAAATAAAAATGAAAAGATATGAAAAAAAAAAAAAAATCTTGAAAATTATTTTTTATGTTGATACACATTGAAAAATCTCGATGGTTTATGTAAATAAAAATCTACTAAGTGAAGTACACAATTTAATATTATTCATATAAAAAGTCGGTTTTTACTTGTTTATAATCAGACTAAATGGAGTCCCTAGAACATGGGAGATTGCTTCTATGACCTAGTTGATTTTTTTTCAAATTATGGTAGGGGGATCCGGAACTCCCCCTTCTCCGACGTTCGACCCTTGGTAAGCATGCACTCCGAAAAATGATATACTACGTCACTTGACACTATACAGATGATGCGATAGGTTACACACCTAGTCGGGTCATGTGACATGTAAAACACATGCACAGGTAACACTCTCACGGTCAATATTTCTATATCTACTGCTGTGGTAAGTGAGTCGCTAGGCAAAGTTTCTTTTATATTTGATGTTGATCTTGTAAAATTTCAACAATTCCTAAAGTCTGTATACATGTATTTATATATATAAAACCTCAATACAATGTATTTGAACAGAATTTTTTCATTTTTTTTTTGGTTTATTTTTCAAAATTGCATTTTCAAAATTTGCATTGCCTAGTTAAGTGTCTATCTGTTGACCATACACTTGTATATGTGGATCTCCAACAAGGCTGCTTTTCCTTTATTATGTTCTGACCATGTTTAACACTGCTTGGACCAGAGTTATGTTTAAAACAGGAACAGACTTAGTTTTCTCTTGCACTTTCAGGCCTACATTAATTTTTAACCCTTTCACCACTGTAGACCATAATGGACCAATCTAGATTAATGTATGGAAGAGTCTACCAAAGTTACCTAGGGGTGAAAGGGTTAAGGTCTGCTAAGCTTTAATTGTATTATCCCTGAAACTTGAGCTTTAAGAATCTATGTTAGGTATTTGAAAGGACCAATTTTTCGGGCTTTAACAGTGTAAAGGTAACATTGACAAATTGAACTCAAATGTAATGTACCTTTGTTATTTATGTTATTAATGATTACTAATTTAACAAAATATAAAATAAATCACAAATATATGAACAAGTGGTTTTATTATGTTTTCTCACAGTGACAGCCTATCACCCAGAAATCTTGTTCAGCATAAAGCTTGAATCGGTAACTTTTCAGAGTTTTCAGTCCTGTTATAACATCAGATCCTCAAACGATTGAGGTTGTTGCAGCTTTAACACTGATCAGGATACTGTCTACTGGGATTTTTTTTGTGGCAGTTTAACTTTCACCCTTTTTAATTTTCCACAATGAAGACAAATTTATCATGATGGTGAATATAAGTGTACAGCATGCCCTTTAATAGAAATGACATGTAAAAGGTAAAATTTATACTGGACAAATATGGATTTAATTGGTAATGGGCAAATATTTGACTCATTGAAAGTTTCCCGATATTCAGTATATACTGTTTCTAATGAGAGTAGTACAAAATTAATGGTTTACTTTCACACTTCAAGTAACACGACCAACAATTAAATATAACTTTCAGTCAAACACTCAACAAATCAGTCACTGTGTTCCTCATCATGATCCGGTCAGTGTCTGATAGTCAGTCATGTTGGCAACAATGTCTACAGCCAGCCACTGTGTTCCTCATCATGATCCGGTCAGTGTCTGAAAGCCCATCACATTGAGGATGACTGTCTACAGCCACTGTATCCCTCATCATGATCCGGTCACTAACATATTACCAGTCACATAGGCGATAAATGTCTGCAGCAGTTCTATCCCTGCACCAGAGTGGGCACTGGAAAAGAAGAAGAAACGCAATGAAAAAAAATGTATCATTATACACCCTGCAACGAAGTTAGGGTGTGTGTGTGGTTATACTGGAATCACCCTGGATGTCGGTCATCCGCAGTTACTTGTCTGGAAAACTCCCATCTTAACTCTCAGGCAGATTTGAAAGTTCACATGAATGATCAGTATACATGTATTATGTAGCTGTGCACCAGCATTTTAATTTCAGATTCAACACTTTTTAAGGGAGTTACGGCCCTTTATGTAAAATAACGTGTCCAGATTCCTCTGTCTTAACTAACAGGCAGAGTTTATTAAAACTTTGCTTGAAGGATAAATGTTTTATGTAGTTGTGCAACAGTATTTTAATTTTTGAATTCAACACTTTGTGATATAGTGACGCCCCTTTGTCCTTAAAACTTGTCCGCACAACTTCTCTTGATTATCTAACAGGTGGATGAAATTGAAAGTTTGCATTGATGATCACTATCTGATGTGCTTGGGCACCAGCATATTACTTTCAGGTAACAACAGTTTTTAAGGGAGTAATGGCCCTTTGTGACAGAGTTATGCCCCTTTGTGCTAAACACTTGTCTGCACCACTCCTCCTTAACTTACAGGTGGATTTCATTGAAAGTTTGCATTGATGATCACTATCTGATGTACTTGTGCAAGGTCAAGGTCCCTAAATGATGTATAAACTACCAGCATTTGCGAGGGATATTAGTTATCCTCCAGATGACAGTTCTAGTTTATATTTAGGGCAAAGATTTTGAGCTGTACCAACTAGACATTTTCAAACTGGTGTATAATCTACCCACATCCAACTGACACTAAAGCACTAGTCCTCTAGTCCGGGGCAAGTAAACTTCAGCAAGAACTTAACCTAACTTGTCCTTTCTACTTATGAAAAAGATGTGTTATCACAATATTTTTTGATAGATAGATTACAAAATAAGAAAAATTCCTTTGGAAAAGAGCTAAAAATACAAATATATTGCACAATAATTGTCATTTTTTTTCCTAATACTTCACTATGTTTTTAGGGCAGTAATTATCTTATGTCCCCAATAGTAAATAACTCTTTATGTAAGACTTTCTGACTTGAAATGTTTCCTGGAATTTAAGGAAATACAAACATATATTTCATTTCACATAACAAATGAGGATTACCTTATGAGTAACGACTGTGGCAGACAGTATTATAAAAGAGGATTACTTGGCAATGAATGGCTGTGGCAGGCGGTATTAATAATGAGGATTACCTTATGAGCAACGGCTGTGGCAGGGAGGATTATAAATGAGGATTACCTGACAAGGAACTGTTCCTTGTCAGGTAGTATTATAAATGAGGATTACCTTACAAGGAACAGCTGTGTCAGGCAGCATTATAAATGAGGATTACCTGACAAGGAACAGCTGTGGCAGTCAGTATTATACGTGAGTATTACCTGAAAAGGAAAGGCTGCGGCAGGCAGTACTATAAATGAGGATTACCTGACGAGGAACAGCTGTGGCAGACAGTATTATACATGAAGATTCCCTGACGAGGAACAGCTGTGGCAGACAGTATTATGCATGAAGATTACCTGACGAGGAACGGCTGTGGCAGGTAGTATTATACATGAAGATTACCTGACGAGGAATGGCTGTGGCTGGCAGTATTATAAATGAGGATTACCTTCCGAGGAACGGCTATGGCGGGTAGTATTATAAATGAGGATTCCCTGACGAGGAACGGCTGTGGCAGACAGTATTATACATGAGGATTACCTAACGAGGAACGGCTGTGGCAGGCAGGATTATACATGAAGATTACCTGACGAGGAACAGCTGTGGCAGGCAGTATTATACATGAAGATTACCTGACGAGCAATGGCTGTGGCTGGCAGTATTATAAATGAGGATTACCTTCCGAGGAACGGCTATGGCGGGTAGTATTATAAATGAGGATTACCTGACGAGGAACGGCTGTGGCAGGCAGTATTATACATGAAGATTACCTGACGAGGAATGGCTGTGGCTGGCAGTATTATAAATGAGGATTACCTTCCGAGGAACGGCTATGGCGGGGAGGATTATAAATGAGGATTACCTGACGAGGAACGGCTGTGGGAGACAGTATTATACATGAGGATTACCTGACGAGGAACGGCTGGGGCAGACAGTATTATACATGAGGATTACCTGACGAGGAACGGCTGGGGCAGACAGTATTATACATGAGGATTACCTGACGAGGAACGGCTGTGGGAGACAGTATTATACATGAGGATTACCTGACGAGGAACGGCTGGGGCAGACAGTATTATACATGAGGATTACCTGACGAGGAACGGCTGTGGCAGAGAGTATTATACATGAGGATTACCTGACGAGGAACGGCTGGGGCAGACAGTATTATACATGAGGATTACCTGACGAGGAACGGCTGGGGCAGACAGTATTATACATGAGGATTACCTGACGAGGAACGGCTGTGGCAGACAGTATTATACATGAGGATTACCTGACGAGGAACGGCTGTGGAAGGCAGAATCTGCTGTGCTCGTCTCTGTAATTCATCACAGACATGAGGTTCCTCACTAACTGGTGTCTGTTAACCTTGTCAATCTTTGTCAACACCAACTGAAAAGGAAAAAATGGTTTTACTTATTTTGAGGCTAAAATGATGTTGTAATGCTTATATTTTTCTGAATCTGTCATGGTTAGGTTTTTACTAGTTCAGTCATTTAACATTAAATTTTAAACTGCAAAAGTGTTCATTTTTCAACATTGTCAGTTGGTTTCTATTTTTAAAGAACAAGAAAGTGTGTGCAAAATATGTTATTTTTCTTACCCCGTTTTGAATTAAATTAACAAGACCATATATCTGATTAACTTTGCGGTGTAATATTGCAATCTTGAGGCACTCTGAGTAGCGGAAATTCAAAGTATAGCAAGACCAGTTACTTAACAGTACTTAAGGTGCATTTACGCAAAAATGAATAGTACATTTATTGGACTACGTACACAGTGAACTGTGGAGAAGCCATGTAACTTCTCCAGCATGTCCTTATCCAGTCTAGTCAATCCTATCTCAGAGTCGATCAGAATGAACACCACCTTCAAGCTACAACAGTCAGCCACAATCAACATCGACTGTGTTTAATGGTAAAATTACATAAAACCCCTACAATTTTAAGGTCATCCTTAAAAAATGGTTTGCAGTTTCCCTTCTGATATTCTTTTTTTCAGTTAGTAGGAATTTCTGATTTTTCTCTCTCGAAATATCACATTTCTGTAAAAATAAAGTCCCTCAGTTTCAGCTATTTTTCAGCAAGAAAGAAATAATTCACGAAAGTTCAAAAATAGGTTGAGTGGGTTCCATCTTTAGTGAGTCAGTCCTGAAACTGCAAGCAAACATTTTTTAAGGATGTTCTTGAATTTTGATATTGATAAGGGTAGACAACTCACTACATAAGGGATAACCATTTCCTCCATCATTTGTAGACCTATCAGGTCAGTCTCAGTAATCCCCATCACTGCATCTATTAATATAAACGATCTGACTAGCCTGAAATAAAAAGTCAGGTTTTTCAATAATTCTATCGCAGTATGTGAAATAAATGTGAGGACAAATGGGCCTGTATTGTTCATCTATGTTTCACTGACCTTATCAATGAATAATAATAGTAATAATAGTTTGATGTTCTTAGGACTCTAAATAACAACCGCTTTATCACATCCTAGTTTGTAGGTCTTCTCAAAGCTGTTCACAAATAATTATCCCTGGTTATAGGGCCTTTGCATCCAGCCAATACCTTTCTCAACTCCCTGGGGAGCATACGGACGGTGCTGATTTCAGCGCTCACAGCTAGCATTTAACAATTCTAGCACTGCCCAAACACGCCCTCATTTACAGCCGAGTAGACTGGAACAAGCAGAGTAAAGTATCTTGCTCAAAGATACAAAACAGTGCCGTGACGTGACTCGAACTCGCAACCCTTCGGTTACGAGCCAGGCATCCTACCACCAGACTGCCGTGCCTCCTAACAAAATGAAGACCACCAACTTCCTCAATGCTACACCAATTCATTGAGCATACATCTCAGGACAAAACGAACTTGCTTAACTTTGTAAAGTCTGACAATTGAAAAAGTTCAGTAGACATATTCCAAACACATGCATAAACATTTGTTTAAAATCCTGGGCATGTCCTCTTTACTGCTTCAAATTCACAATGTGAATAAATTCAAGAGAACATCCCAAACCTGTGTGAAATAATAAATTTTTAAAATGACAATATCTTAACTTCAAGAAAATCATTTTTGAAACGTTCTCTGAGACCATCTCCTTTGGCAGCTTTTTGGTCAAACTATTAGTAATTGCATTTTAGTAATTTGAAGCACTTTCAAGAAGTTGAAAGTAAAAAAGGTTGAAGAGTGGATCACGGTATGATACCCATGTTCAAGTGGTCTGTCATGTCTCAAGATGATAAAAATAAGATATATTTATGATGGAAGATGGCTAGATTTACAGGATTCAATTCTATGACAACTACGAAAAGTCCAGAGTCAATATAAGGGTCAGCTACCTATGGACCAGTTAATTTGATGCAAAAACAAGCCATTCAGATTGATATGTCTCGCTTATGCCCTGTTTTGACCATCAATGCACATAACAGAGAAACAAACTTAAACGCAAAAACTTAATGTTGATGGAGATGCTGACAAAGTACATGGACCATAAAAGGTAGGCCACATCCAGTATTTGATGCATGGGTTGAGATGTTCTACCTAAGATGCACCAATGGTCCAAGTTTGGTTGGTCTAGCACTTATACTTTTAGAGAAACTAACTTACACTTTTAGAGAAACTTAACTTAAACGCAAAAACCTAATGTTGAAAGGTAATTGTATGTTTCCTTGGAGCATATACATGTATGTTTTCAGGATGTTGCATTTCATACCAGTTTTGATGGGTTTAATAAAAAAAAAGGATAGAAGACTTTGTTCTTCGCAAAATGAACTGGCCCATATAACAAATCACTGGACTAGGCCTGTGGTAAAATCTACCCCTTGTTGTGTGTCTACTGGATCACTCACTTTGTCCTTTTTTGAAAGTAGGTTTCCACACAGTTTACGAAGTAGGAGGGCATGTTATGTCCGTAGCCTGGCATGTCGACCAGTGTGAAGGCCCCTCCTGCCTGGTACAACTGTAGTGCCTTGGTACGCCCCTGTAACAGCAGACCACGTCTATTACTGCTACACCTCATACAATTGAATAGGAAGGCCAAACAGAACAAATAATTGTGATAAAAACTGCCCCCCCCCCCCCCCCCGTTTTTTTTACCTCCAACAGTAACAAAAATTAGTCACTCAAATAAAGTGCCTGTATTTAACTTTTAGAGGGTTTGTTTTCACAGAAATGTCTAAGACAATTTATTTTTTTGATGCACAAACAAAGTTCAAAAGTCTTTCATGTTATATTACATCATTTTCCCCATTAGATTCTATGTTAATTTAATTTTCTAAAATTAGTTTTACCTGGCTTCGTTTATAGAGTTGTCAAAAATTGATGAAATTTGTCACATAGCTTAAGAATTAGCTAGTGCTTCTATTGGTAATACTTCTATATAATAACCTGTTTCATAGACTTCTAACCATGATGAGTTCAAATTGTCCAAAACAATTATTACCGCAAAATTAACCATTGTGTCTATGGGAATGACATCAAAGTATAACTTTTATACAGGGATGAAAAGTAATATCTCAACAACAGATCTAGAGGCATGGATAATAATACATGTATAAAGATTACCACAAGAAATACTGGGTAATTCTCTAACAGTTTTATAAAAATTGGATGTCAAATGAAGGCTCTAAAACATTTTGAAAAAAATAAGTAGATTTACATAGAATCCAATGGGAAACTGACATCACAGGGAGGACTTTTGACCTCTGGCTGTAGTAAGAGTGGGTACTGAAACGATGGTATATGTCTATCTTTACCTGTGTTCAAATTAAGGATCCAAATGTTCTCAAATGGATTGATCATGCATATTTACCTAACAAAAGATTTGCATGAAACTAACCTTAACCTTGTATAATACATCACATGTCAGAAAATAAGACCACCTTGTTCTCGTGGATTCGAAGCAAGAAACACAAATATAACTTTGTTAGGTCTGAACATGTTACACCATCTAGCAAAGATTTTGAATTCATAAAATAAGTTCTTTTATTGGAGTACATTTCCTTTTCAAAGGTATGCACAAACGTACATTTTAAGATTTTTTTTTATCAGAACAGATTGTCACCCGACATTACTTACTGGTTTGGATGACACCGATAATTTTCTAAGAACTGTGATTGGAGCTTTGGAAAACAGGGTGTGTATCAAAGAGGATTTCCCAACATTGCTCCGACCAATAAACGCCACCTGAAATACATATGTAAGTTTAACATCTAAAACTTGGAATCACTAACATATACTGAATACCGTGAAATTTTTGCTGCATATTGATTTTCGCCATCTTTAATCAGGACAAATTTATCATTACAGCAAACATTTGTCAACAACATAATATACATAGTAATTAAATAAGAAGGGCGAACATTTCCCGGTACACAGTAAGCTGACATCATTATTTATTTGAAGAATGAAAATGCAACATGTTTTTTAAGTTACAGCTCATTTGGATAGTATTTTGAGGCGTATCCATCTTCAAAGAACATGTGTTCTGCTCTCGATATACACACACCTGCTCCTATAGAATATGTCATGACAAAATAGAAGGCTGTTTACATGTCACCTTGCGGATGGATCGATACAAGTACGGTACTTGGCAGACTTTGTTTGTTTGTGTTTAACGTCCTATTAACAGCTATAGTCATTTAAGGACGTGCCAGGTTTTTGTGGTGGAGGAGGAAACCTGGAGTTCCCAGAGAAAAACCAATGACCTAAGCCCAGTACCTGGCGACTGCCCAACGTAGGCCTCAAACCCGCGACCCAGTGGTGGAGGGCAAATGGTAGCAGAATGACTCAGATGCCTTAATTATAACCACATGGCCACCGCAACCCCCACTTGGCAGACTAGTCTAATTAATGCCTGCTATGATGAAGATAAATAGAACTGTGCAGTAGCATAGTCACTGTGATAATATCAACAGGCATTGAAGCTGGTGTAACTCCTCTGTTATATTCAAAGCCTTAGGACAGGTATCAGTCTAGAAATAGGTCAGGTTTTCTTCAACGGAGCTTTCCACGATCCTTCAATTTTGTCATGACGTATTCTAAAGGGACAGAGATTATCTGTGTCAAGAGTGGATACATGTATATAGAACACACATGGGTTTCAGAGATAAAATAAAGATTGCTGTTTTTTATGCTGTGTAGATATTTCTAATGCAATGAATGAATGACGGTAATATTAAAAAAGAAAGATCTAATTTAGAAATATTGTCAAGAGATTTGAGAAATTTTCTTACAACTGATCAGGAATTACATGCTAAGTGTAAGATCTTTATAAAATGTCATATTTTTTTTTTCAAAATGAAAAATTACCTCCGGAATATCATACTTGGGTAATTTATCTATCTCAGCAGCTGTCTTTATATGCTTTATCTTGTATGATTCATCTTTTGGTGTGAAGAATTTTGAAGCAAACTTTATTTCAGATTCTGCAGGATTGAAAGAAGCGGTTCCCTCTGGTATAATAGGCACAGCTACAAACGGCTGAAGCTCGCTGATTGGATTATAAGGTGTCAGTTGTGTTTTTTTCTGGTCTGTTGCTGACAAGCATTGTATATTTGTGGATGTGCTGATACCAAAAGATCCAAGCGTTGTGTTACTCAGCAGTGCTGAAAGCTTGCTCCAGGTGAAGCCAGGTTTAGAAAGCACAACCATTCCTTGATTCCCGAGTAATCTGCGGAACTTATTCATTCTGGTCAATTGTCTTACTGAGGTTAAGAATATTTTTGTTGTTATCTGAAATAAGAATTATAATCAGAATACAGTGCAGTCATATGATAAACCTAACAGATAATGAAATTTTTTGTTTTATAAGTGATTTGCACAAAATATTCAACCATTTCCCATTTATCAAGTGGAAAAGATCTTGCAAAGTCGGTTAAAAACTTAATTATATAGAAGCAATCTGAGAGCTCTCAGCGTACCGGGTAAGTAACTAAGTGGTTTTGAGAGGTCTGATTTTAATATTAAAGTTTGTATATTAGAGAAGAACAGGAATTTTGATCGCTTTATTTTAAACCACTTAACAGACAAGTCCATTACGTTAGAAAGTGGTGTTTTGATAAATTATCGATGTTCAAAGGCACATGAATATCATGGGGTGCTGATTTCCTAATTCACATTCATTACAAAATGTGAAAATCATTAAATCTCTTTTGTGATATCATAAACGTCTTGTTAGATTTTACAATATTGAATACACATAGTTTTTTATTGACACAAACTTGATTATATGAAATAACAAAAGTTTAGAAACTATTAAGAATCCCTCTCATGGAATCGACAACAGTGTTTTAACTGTAAAAATGTGACCAGACCAGTATTTTCAAACCTTGGATCGACCTCCAATCATTCAACTCAGACACCCTAACAAACTGAGCTGTTAATTAAAGGGGAGGTTATATTTTTATACTGTATACATACACAAATAGAGATTGATCCTGAAATGGAAAAGTATCCTATTTACTTGCATGACAGCCTAACTAACCACAGGCCAAGAAGGGCCTGTATTGCTCCCCTGTTTGTTTTGTTACATGGAATTGTTGGTCAATATTGTGTAGTTAGGTTGATTGGATAATCAGAAGAGGTTGAAGGTTTACCACGCAGTTATTTGACCCCTGTGACCTTGAAAGTATACATAGGGCAAGGGCATATTCATGTGCGAATGTTGTTGAGCTCAAACAGAGGATGCTGGTGGGGGAATAGGAGCAGGACTTGACACGTTTCGGATATTCAGAAGTGTGTTGAAGGGATTTGTTTGTTGTTATTTGTTTATCGTTTTAGCAACAGCTAAGGAAATATAAGGATGGTGTCACATGACGGACATATGACTTTGAAAGTATAGGTCAATGTCATTTTCATTCACAAACATAATCAGGTTCCATTATAGGATGCTACTGAACAAATATGACTTTAAGGCAATCAGATCTTCAGAAGAAGTCGTTTGAAGGTTAAGGCCTATTTCACCCCTGTGACCTTGAAGGTAGGTCAAAGTCATTTTCATTCCCAAACTTTGTAGGACTTCATCATACGATGCTACTGGCTAAATATCATGACTCTATGCCTTTCAGATCTTCAGAAGAAGTCGTTTGAATGTTTTGACCTATTGACCTTTGTGACCTTGAAAGTAAACCAAACGTCCTTTTCATTTGCAAACTTTCTCAGGCTTCATCATAGGATGCTACTGGCCAAATATCATGACTCTAGGCTTTTCAGATCTCTAGAGGAAGTCGTTTGAAAGTTTACACCTATTCACCTATTTGACCCCTGTGACCTTGAAAGTAGGTCAAGGTCATTTTCATTCACTAACTTTGTCGGACTCCATCTATGATACTACTGGCCAAATATCATGACTCTATGCCTTATGGATCTTCAGAAGAAGTCGTTTAAACAAAAAGTTGACGGACCCAACGGATGGATGACAGACGCCGCGCCATGGCACAAGCATCAGGCAGGTGTCAGAGCTAATAATAAAAACACATGGATTTGGATTGCTTTATAAATTATTGTAAACCATTTTAGGCCTTTAAGTTCGGAAAAGGTATTTTTAATTATAATTTACAAGAGTTAAAGGGGTGTCGTTTTGGTAATTATTCATCACAAAATGTGCATGGGATCATTGATCCCTTCTGTCAGACACATTCATTCATTAGATTTTCATGCTCCTTGCAAATTTCTTTCTTTATTAATGATTTTTTTTTATCGAGGTTTCAAGGATTTGCTATAGAACCAATAAAAATTATATATATACATGTATACAGTATCACAGACAGACATCTGCATCTGGTACGTGAGTGTAACAGGAGCGGAAAAAAATATGCAAAACCAGACGGGGTTAATTGTACTCGGGACCCTCCAATCGACCCAATCCTGCATGAGCACCGCTCAATCCTTTTTAAAAAAGTCTTAATTTGACCCCGAAGACGTATACCCATGTCTATATATATACAACCGGCCCGGTCACCGATACCCCATTGTCAAGCATTATAATCACTTAATTAGTAGTGGTACTAGCTGCGAAAAGGTTGCTACCGACGACAAGACAATTAATATATATATATAAGAGGCCGGGTATTAATATTTGTATTACCGTAATACTTTATGACCCAAGTTGAATAAATGGCTACTTTTATGACCAAAGTTGAAGTAATTGCGTGGTCAAACAGGTTTAGTGCGAAACGACCCGACGCGGCCAGAATCAGATGCTTGTGTAGCCCTAGTTTCCTCTGGCTCTAACATCAGACATGGGCTTTTTGACAGATAGATGTCTGGTCGGGCCCATACCAGACATCTATCTGTCAAAATGTCCAAGTCTGCAGGGCCAGAGGAAACCGGTTCATAAATATAAGACGGCGGTTTCTTGATACTTACCGCTGCAACCACAACGTACTGTTTTCTTGTTCGGTACTTTGGAGTGAAATATCAAATTTCATAACGTATGTCCCAAAAATATCGGAGTGTGCCGTATCCTGTGAATGATTACTAGCCGGCTGCATGCACGTACACTGGGCGCAGCCATTTTGGAAATGCCCGGATGCTAAGTGGGACATAGGTAAAGAAACGTACACGGTTCGATCGATATTGTAAGTTTGTTAATTTTCTAGGGCATATATACACTATACAAGTGATCAATATAATAGTTTTCTAATTGATGTCTTTTGTTTCGATAAGTTCCGTGAAGTTGAATCAATGATATTGAAGTCGCTTACATGACCACGTACGGATTTCGGACTTAATTGAGGAAGCAGTTTTTACCGGTTTCTAGCACATTGAAAAATCCAAAATGAACACAATGTCATACATCGGGGATTTTGGATTGTAATTCAAGATGTTAAGTTACAAACATGGCACATGTAATTTGGTCGGTTAGGACTTAAAGTGGTATACTTGAGTGGTATGTGTTAAAGCATTTAAAAAGCCTACTCCTGCTGAACAGATGATCATATTTCAACAAAATTTGCTGTTATTTAATTGGATTTTAACGGTAATTTTTGGGACTCGGATATTATTTCTTCAAATTCTACAAAAAACACTGGTTTTATAAAAAAAATAGTCAAGGGTGCTGCAGCCTGTTAAGGATGATCCCGGAATTGCCCATATATTTTGCCTTGATTGCTAAATATCAAGGTGACTGATACAGTCCCTAAGGACCTGTTGTTTATGTTGCATTTATACATCATATTCACATTAACTAAGGTGTTACCTCTGAAACCTCCGATGAGGGAGATCTCCCTCATTCCACATTTCCAACGTCAGGAAGAAAGTGCGTGAAACGTGACTGAAACTGCTTTGCTCAATTTATCTTTCCCTTTTTATGTATGAAAATTCAAAATAACTCATAAAAAACCTTCATTTGATTCAGACACCTCTGTTATAATCATTACACACACCCTGCAGTAACTAGGAGATCATTTGACCACAGGATGAAGAATTAAATTTGAATTTCGAGGGAGATCAGTAAATTTAGGTCAAAATGAGGAAGTCGTCCCTCCAAATGTAAGGGAGGGTTGACAGCTATGTATTCATTATGATAAAACTTTGATTTGCCTCCTTCCCTCATTTGCCCCCTTGCTTACCCTCCACCAGCTGTTAACTTATATTTCTTCATAATTCATCCTTAATATCTCTTTTATTGACTCACGGTGGGTGTTATTATAAAAGAGGTGTTACTGTATGTATATAAAAGTAATGTTGTGGTTTGTAATGTATGAAGTATACAGCTATATATATGTTTACTAGTGCATGATTAGCAATTAGAGGGCTGTAACAATTAATACCTGGGTTTTGCCATGTCCGAATTGCATACAAAAACAGTCAGTGGTTATGTGCTACCTTAAAACTTTCACTTACAAGATTTTAAATATATTTTTTTTAATGTTCCAAGACGGGGACTGACCTGTTGAAATCAGAATCATGAGATAACTGATATTTTATATGGTGTGCTTGTATTATAAAGGCCTTGAAGGGTGGCATTAACAAAAGTGTTCAAGTAATTTAGTATAATGCCACACGTTCTTAAAAAGACAGCGACAAAATGGAAAATAATTTGTCATTAAATCATTGTCGTTGCCAATGAAAACTCTTATGTTAATAATTTGTTTTGATATTGAATTAAAAATTAGCATCTTTAATATACATTTCTGTATCGTGGCTATGTGTGTTGGTATGTATGCGTGAGCTTAATGCCAATATTCAGTACTAATTCATATATCGATACATCAAAATGATTTTGTTCCAGACAGGGTAAAGGTAACCTGTTTGCCCCTACGATGGAGAGATGGCTGGGAGGCATGTGAGGATGAGTGTAAGGTGGGCCTTCAACTTCCGGGCATGGGCTCCCTCTGCGGAGGACTGGACCGTGTGTAACCAGTGTGTCCAGCCTGAAGAAGCACAGAGGATCAGCAAGTTTGTGTTCAAGAAAGATGCAAAATCTTCCATGGTAATTTGTCAACAATAGTTAATACTGTTCTTCTACAAAATCTATCTCAACTAACATGTTTAGGGCAATCTTACACAATCGATAATTTCTTATTAAAACAACACATCAAAGTTTGTAGAGGAGAAACAGTGTATGCTGGAATCAGCCTGACCCACTATTTGTCTGTTCATAGACAATATCTTTTCTAGGCAACATATTAAGAGTTTGAATCTGTTTACTGATATTACGAATGTTTACAGAGTTATTGCCCTTTTCATATTCCAACGCTTGTATACCTTGTGTGGACATCTAAACACATCCAATCAAGTTCCCTTGAAACATGCTAGATCGTAATTATTACTTATAAAATAGGTGTCAATTTGACCTAGATTTAGATGGTGAGTGTCGTTAATGAAGCAGAAGGTGCTAACCCTTTTGGAACACCTGGTCCTATTATCTTTGTACCTTTTCAAGAGTCTCCATACCAATGTAATGCTTTCTTTTGTTCACATATGCCCTAGTCTTTTCGATATTGAGACTATTTTTTTTTTATCGATTTTGAGTTCAAAATATGTTTTGTTGACGTTGATTCTATTGTATTTATTTTTTAACTTAGGTCCCCCTTTCAGAACATTTATAATACTGGAAATGGTATTTCACAGAATGCTAAAAAAGGTTCCTATGCAAACTTCGTTTCTCTTAAGAAAGTTAGCTTCCTTTGTATAGTTGAGATTTATTCAGGCTCGTATGGCTTTTTATTTCTATCCTGAATACTTTATTTTTTTATTGCAGATTGGACGGCTTATGATAAGAAAGGTTATCTCAGAATACCTCAACATTCCATTTAAGGAAGTGACTTTAGCAAGATCAGAGAAGGGAAAACCCTATATAGCAGACAGGACTGATGTTGATAATTTCAGTTTCAACGTTTCCCACCAGGGGGATTATGCTGTCCTTGCGGCACAAGGGAACTGTATTCTCGGTGTGGATGTCATGAAATTGGAAACACGTTAGTAAGTTTAAGTTACATGTTCTTTATAAACTCATCCATCCCTGAAGACACATTTGAACTCTTCCAATGCAAAGGTTGGAATAGTTCATTATGAAATTTCAGGGGTGAATGAGTTTTAGAGATCCCTAGAAAACTGTTACATTGTAAAAGAGTGTATTGATGACATTGGTCTTACAGCTGTCTATTGTTTACATTTATTGCAAAAGAATATCTAGAAATGATTGGTTTAGAGCTGTCACATGACCTCTTAACTTTCTATAGAGAGTCAGTATTGCATTAGAGGGAAACATGGTGCTATCCCTGTCCACAGTTTCAAACTGAAACAACATTTACCGGTATTTTTATATAATTTCACCTTAAATTTGGAATTGGAAGATTTGTATTGTAAGGTAATAGGAGTTACTTCCCCTACACTAATTAAAACCAATTAGGGAGGCAAGTGCAATCAACTAGATGGATATTTTATATATATTTCTAGACTTTGATAACTATTATGTGAGAAAAATGAGTTCCTCTCCTTTTTGACACAGAATGTCGTCATACTTTTTCCATTCTCTTGAATTAAGGGTAGATTTTAAACACTCAACATAGACATGTGCTTGAAATTTACTCTTGATCAACTCTGAATTGGAAAAATTGTGATTTAATACACACCCACACATAAGATGACCTGTAAGTCCTAGAATTTTGTCGTAGTGTTTTCATTATACCAGTGGAACATACTGTATTACATACTGAACAAATATTATAGTGACTTCAGTCCTGCACAGATAATAACAGCTGTTGTACACAGTGCAGAACTTTCAGTACTTTGATTTCTTTATTTGTTTAACATTGGAACAGTTTGTCTACCTGCTATTCAGACATTTTATGACAAAAGACCTGATTTTACAAAACTAACATACAATGTACCTTCTTGTTCCAAGTCAATACCATAACCACATCTGTTCTTACTGATGGGATATTATATGTAAGATCTAACGACTGACTAAAACACAAGCTGCTTTCACCCTTTAGATGGCTCATCAACCTATTATATTATAGTTGTAGATATATGCATATGGATTTGTTTTGAACAGGTACAGATGTGGATAGCTTCTTCGAAACTATGAGGAGACAATTCACTGCAGAAGAATGGATGCTCATTCGCTCTCCCACCACAGACAAAGAGAGACTCAAGCTCTTCTTCAGACTCTGGGTATGACCAATAATCCATTGAAAGCCAAGGACATGTGTCCTCTGTCATTCTCTGTTACTCCTGTGACACAGGTGTCCACTGTTACTGGTTTGACACATGTGTCCACTGTTGCTGCTTTGACACATGTGTCCTTTGTTACAGGTTTGACACATGTGGCCACTGTTTATGCTGTGGCACTTGTGTCATATGTTAATACTGTCACACCTGTGTCCACTGTTTCTACTGTTACAGTTGTGTTCACTGTTTTTACTGTGACACATGTGTCTACTGTAACTGCTGTGACACATGCGACACTGTTACTGGTTTGACCCATGTGTCCACTGTTTCTACTGTTACAGTTGTGTTCACTGTTTTTACTGTGACACATGTGGCTACTGTTACTGGTTGACACATATGTCCAATGGTACTGCTGTGACACACGTGTCCTCTGTTACTGCTCTGACACATGTGTCCACCGTTACTGCTGTGAGACATGTGTCCTCTGTTTCTGCTTTGACACATGAGTACAGTGCTACTGCTGTGACCCATGTGCCACTGTTACTGCTCTGACACATGTGTCCACTCTGACTGGTTTGACATATGTGTACACTGCTACTGCTGTGGCACATGTGCCCACTGCTCCTTCTGTGACACATGTGCCCACTGTTACTGCTGTGACACATTTGTCCTCGGTTGCTACTGTGAAACATGTGTCCTTTGTTACTGGCTTGATACATGTGTCTACTGTAACTGCTGTGACACATATGTCCCCTGTTCCTGCTGTGCCCCCTGTGTCTCCTGTTACTGGTTTGGCACATGTGTCCTCTGTCAGTCTCTGTTACTCCTGTGACCCAGGTGTCCACTGTTTCTGGTTTGACACATGGGTCTACTGTTTTTACTGTGACACATGTGCCCGCTGTTACTACTGTGAGACATGTGTCCCCTGTTACTCCTGTGACCCATGTGTCCTTTGTTACTGGTTTGATACATGTGTCTACTGTTACTGCTCTGACAAATGTGTCCACTGTTACTGGTTTGGCACATGTGTCCTTTGTTACTCGTTTGATACATGTGTCTACTGTTACTGTTTTGACACATGTGTCTTTTGTTACTGCTGTGACACCTGTGTCCACTCTAACTGGTTTGACATATGTGTACACTGCTACTGCTGTGAGACATGTGTCCTCTGTCAGTCTCTGTTACTCCTGCGACACAGGTGTCCACTGTTTCTGGTTTGACACATATGTCGACTGTTACTACTGTGACACATATGTCCACTGTTACTGCTGTGACACATGTGTACACAGCTACTGCTGTGACATTTGTCTAGTAGATTTTTCAAAAAGTTCATATACACTAGCTTTATTTGCATGACTAGGTTAATATATATATAAATCTAGGTCTTGTATACAACTAGTGCAGTAGGTTGATACATGGTTGTACATTAGCCAATTCACATCCACAAAGAGGTTGACATACGACTGGGAAGTTAATCTCCTTACTAATTTTTGTTATTTTCAGTGCTTGAAGGAAAGTTACGTAAAAGCACTCGGTGTAGGCATTGGATTTGAGGTTGGCAGATTGAACTTCAACCTTCCAACTTTAAATATAGACTCTAGTGTCATTTCTGACACCACTCTGAAGATAGCTGGGACACCGATGCCAGACTGGACATTTGAGGAGCAGTTGCTAGGTGACCATAGTATTGCAGTAGCTGTAAACGAAAATGACAAAACACGTTTGGGATGTCCCGTAAGTGTGTGACAATGCTGTAGTGCTTGGGATCTCAGTGTTTTTAATTTCCTGTCTGTAAAATTGAGGCCGCTTATTGGTCCCATTCCCAAGGCAATTTACCTTCTCACCCAAAAAATCATGTAAAAAATTCCCAAAATTGTAACCGATATCATGAAACCTATAAAAAGAAGGCATGTCGTATTAATGCAGAAAAAATGTCGCCTATATATGTTACAGTACAGACTGTGACACTAAACTAATTAGTCCTCATGCAAAGATCAGAAATGGTAAGGAGTTTTTTTTCCAAATTGACAAGTATAAAAATGAATTTCAGTAATTCATATATATGCAAAATTTATGATTTTGTTCGTGGTGACACTTCCTATCACAGTCCCTTTGTCACCAGACAGGGTTCAGAGTTAGATGTACCTGGTGTTATAAGTCATCCACGTTTACAATCTGTCTTATGCACAGGTTAAATGGTTACACACTTATCTATCTCCTCATGCTAATTGTTCACAGGTTGATTATTCAGTTCATTTATTTCCCTCAATTCCATTTGTCAACTTATTTACATCATTGTGTTAAGATTGTACAAATTTATGAAATTTTGCAAATTTGTATGACCAGAAATAATTTTACACCATGTCAAATTTTTCTCAATTCATGAAAAAAATATTCCCAAAACAGCCAGGAAACAAATGGAATTACTTCTATTTTTCACTTAACATGTACGCTTGTATAATGTAATTTGGTGGTAGCAGCCTATTATATTTCTTATAATTCTGGTTCTTGTTTAACAGCACTTCCAGTTTGTCTGGTTGTAATATCCATGTTCTGATCCATTTCTTATGTTACAATGACTTTTACATTCATTGGTCAACAAGAAAAAAAATATGGCATTATGTTTCATGACAGACAAGACAAATTACCGAAATTGCATCTTTCACAATTTGATCACTTGCTTTAAAGTTTATACCTGGGGGGTATTATCAAAGTCCCAGACATTGTGATAAGTACATTTTCAGGAAATATATAAATTTTTTTTTAATTCTCCTTTTGAATGTTTTGACTCTCCCAACAATCTGTGTTCCTAGTTGCAAGTTGTCCAGCTCATGCACTGCCAACAGTGTAGGAACTCTAAGTACAAAGTTGAGGCTACCTCCCCTTGATCAACAATTTTGAGTGCTTCATGGAATTTGCCTTTGTCTAGTTGGCATTCGAATTGCCTATGAATGCCAACTGATAGCAGTTTAATGTTTAAATATCTACCTCCCTCATTACTGGAAAAAGTCAACTTGTGATTGTATTATAGCACCTGTTTGTGTTGATAAATCTGAAAATAGAGAAGAGCTATCTCCGAACCCATTACTGTCTGGATATCACAATTGATTATGTACAGTGAAACCTCTCTAATCTGACCACTGAGTATTCTGATGTCCTGTCATATCCATCATACAGTCCGTTTCCTATAAAGCTTAAACCTGTGTATTTTGACACCCTGTAAACTATAGCAAAGTATTAGTTCCCACGGGCTGTTTTATTAGTTGGGTTTCACTAGACATGTTTGTCATCCTCAATACCTCAGGTGTTACATTCACTCATGCTTTCTGCACCCCTGGAATATGTCATAGCAAAATTGAAGGCTCAGTGTGAACCACCTTGTGGATGAGACGAGAAGACTAGTTTGATACTTTGATGTACGTCAAAAGAATCTGTCGGTTGCGTAAAATTTACCGGCTTTGAAGTCGAATGTCGCTCCTCTAATCTTCAAAGGACAGGTATCAGCCTGGCGATTGGTCAGTTGTTTTTTTACCTGAGACCAATCAAATAGCTAGCTGCATGCGTTCCTTCAATTTTGCTATGTCAAATTCCAGGGGTGCAGAGAGCAAAAGTGAGAGTAACCACTGCAGTATTGAGGATGCATGTTTGTGTAGTAAATGGAAGGAATTTTTACCTACAAGACAATTTTTGGAGAGAGAAAAAAAAGCTTTTTCCCTGAGGTTTTATTCTCACCCATTATCTTTGAAATATTTATAGCCTTTATTATTTACAATATTTTGTAAACAGTTTTACCATGACATACAGAACATGTTTTCCATTGCAGGTAAACAAGAACATGGAGGAAGGATTGCTGTCTGCCGGAGGAGAATTTAAGGTGTTGGATTTTAGAGATGTCATCAAAAATGTCCAGTCTCTCTCTGAACCAGACATGTCGTTCTGGGAGAACTTTCATGTAAAAGCAGAGGACCCGAGTCAATGGAAAAGCAAAAAAGCACAGACGTCCTGACATGACACCCACAGCATCGCAGTCTTAATCATCATTTCTAAAGTGCGCTTAATATGGGCAATACCATGTGTCAGTTTATCAATATAATGTATTAGAAGGTAACAGTGCATAATGTCAACCCAAGGGAATCATTGTTACCCAAAGCAAAATAAAAAGTGAGAACAGGTTTCAGATGATAGACAATTTGCACTGCTACATTATGTGTAATGAATGTCCTATTTACAGGTGACAGTGTAAAATATCACCTGCAAAATCTTATCTTCACAATCTGTATGCACATTAACTGATGATCAACTTAATGTGCACATATTTTGCTAGGGTAACATTTTGCACTATCACATCATTATGTCACCGTCACTCTACATTGTATTTTTAGCGAGTTTCAGTGTTTGTTTCCATCATTTTCTCAACCAATCAGAATATGAGAAATTAAGTTGAGGTGTAACAAAAAATAGCATCTTAGTATCTTAAAATCTTAAAAAATAGAATTAGTCTCACATAATTATGAGTGTTATATTATCTATAACATTCATACTGTTACTTTTGAATACCATAATTTGCACCCATGGTATTTGAATACACACGAATGCATATATACACTTTGTATTAGGATAATAAAATGTGATTTATGATGGAAAAATGTTGTGCAACTTCTGCTACTGAAGATCATTATAAACATTCCAGTGTTGCTGGCAGTTTAAAAATAAAAAGTTTCATGCGCTTTAAGGGAAGTTCAACCATGATCACTAGAAATAAATCTCTGCTTTAAAGTTTAATTGCTATTACCCTGGTAATCATTTGATGGGCCTGGTCAGTTCTGGGAGGGGGCCTTTATAATTTCAGTTCCTCCCAAAAAAGGAGGAGAGGGATTTGATTTATTGGGGGAGGAGTGCTGATTATTGCGAATACGGTATTAGATATTTTGTATGAAGTTGGGATATGAACCTATGTACTACAGATGATTGATGTTATCTTTGAAGGGTGTTTCGTATCATTTGTATGCCCATCAATTGAAGAATCCATTTTCGCCCAGTATTAAATTCGCCCATCACACTTAATAACGATATATATTGTGCTGTTTACAAATGTTTGCTGTAGTGATAAATTCACCCTCATTATGGAGGGTGAAATATACGAAAATCAAACTGCAGTGAATATTTCCCAGTATACAATAATAAAATTAATACAAATCGTGAAAACTTTAAATCTTATAATGAATAAATTGTTGACAAACGATGTACATGTATCGTGAAAAGTGAACTTACCATATGCAGTCTGACAAAAAAATGGCTAATAACATAAACAAACATTTTTCCTATCTGTGAACTGTGGCATTTTTGTCAGTACACTGTATAAGTGTGGAAAATTAAGGTTTTTCCAAGGATTGCTCATCTACTACGAAATTGCAGGTGTTTTTCATTGCATACTCTAAGCATGCACGTCGGGCTTGATCGTTCATGCAGAACAACTGGTTTGTCTGTTTTTAGGTATAAATCCTGGCTGACTTGTGAAGGTTTATGCAGGCCTTGCATTGCTTTGTCAAGGTTCGCCTGAATGCAGCATCATATTACTAGGTCCCTCCTTATTTCATAAACATACAAGTATAGCTAGTCCAACTGTTTGAATCGCGATAAATAAAAGTGGCCAAAGTGACGTAACCTATATCATGACAGGGTTATGTCCCTTGTTGATAATGTCCCTTTTCCCCAGGGTGTCTGGGGAACTTACCAGTAGGAAGTGACACTAGATAATGATTATTTGGTCACAGATAATAGAGATATATTTTATTGGTAATTTTTAGTCACTGTTGTTTTAAATGTTGGAACAATTTTCAATAAATCAGGCATAACCTTTGAAATTTTTATGAATATTCATAAGGAATTACCAAAAATGTTAATAACACCAGTGAAATAGGCAGTATTTAAAAGAAGACTTTAGGGATTAGTTTTGAATTATTCACTTTTTTATGCAATTATTCTGTATATTTGTTTTATCATTCATCGCTTTGGTATGGGAAGTGATTTATAACAACTGCTGATGAAAAATAACAGCAGTGTGTAAAAAATGATCAAATCATCAAGTTGTATTCATCCGAACCTGAAATGTGTATGTTGTTCTAAGGTTGTCAATGACTTGTTTATACATTGTTATATACTTTTTATAAGCCGGACAGAATAACTTATTGAATACAATGTACCAGGATCAATAAAATATGTTTGTTATAAATGTGTGTGTTTTAATTTTTTTCGAATACTTTGAATTCTGAATTTTCTAAATTGTGCGGTGAAGTACTGAAAGCAACATAAATCCCAATGTCATTCGCACTATTAAGTGATTGTTGTTTCATTCTAAGGTTCCTCGTACCACGACCAAAATATAAAACTATGCGTTTGAAACTTATTTTCTGGCATGACTATAGCTTTGATAAATCAATTTTGAAAAGAAAAATATACCTTGTCGTACATTTAAGAAAACATAATGGAGATATGAAATGAACAAAATATTATCAACTACTAACATGTTTTGTGTGTAAAATATTCTGCGGGTTTAGACTAGGATTCGAACCCTGGACTTCAGATTGTTATACCATCTCTGGGAATGATTGAGCTACCTGGACAACAAGTATACAATCCAAATATGCTACAATTATATCTAAAAGGAGTTAAGGGGAGGTTACTGTATATAGGAAAAATGGCAATGCAGCTGGACAGGAATTCTTAAGCTCTCCTGGACCAAATAAGGGACCAAGTGGAGAGCATATAACATGGCTTGGCATCCATCGTCTTTCTCTCTATCCATTGTCCATCTGTCTATCCATCGTCTTTCTCTCTATCCATTGTCCATCTGTCTATCCATCGTCTTTCTGTCTATCCATCGTCCATCTGTCTATCCATCGTCCTTCTGTCTATCTATAATCCTTCTGTTTATCTATCGTCCTTCTGTCCATCTATCATCATTCTGGCTTTCCATCGTCCTTCTGTCTATCAATCGTCCATCTGTATGTTATCCAATCGTCCATCTGTCTATCTATGGTCCTGTCTATTTTATCCATCGTCCTTCTCTATCCATAGCCCATCTGTCTATTCTATCAATCATACTTCTGTCCATCGTCCATCTGTCTATCCATCGTCCTTCTCTCTATCGATGTCCCATGTCAATTATTTCCATCGTCCTTCTGTCTATCCCTCTGGCTTTCCATCAACCCTCTGTTTATCCATTGCCCTTCTGTCTATCCATTGTCTATCTGTCTATTCATCGTTCTTCTCTCTATCCATCGCTCATCTGTCTATTCTAACCATCGTCCTTCTGTCTATCCCTCATCCATCTGTCTATCTGTCATCCCTCTTGCTTTCCATCGACCCTCTGTCTATCCATCGTCCATCTGTCTATCCATCGTCCTTCTCTTTTCTATTGCCCATCTGGAGGGGGGGG